GCGCTGCGCCCGGAGGGCCGGGCCCGGCCTCACTTCTCGGCCCTTGGGAGCCACGCAAGCGGCGCTCGCCTCAGTTTCCCTTTTGGCTTTTCTCGTGTACGTCCCACCCCTCCCGCAAACCCGGACTTCCTTCCGCGCCTTTCCTCGGCAGATGGCAGGGACTTAATTCCGCCCGCTGCCCAGCTTGGCCGCAACCTAATCGCCCCCAGCCGGGCGCCGGCCCCTCGCCCTCCGCTGCGCAGCAGGCCCTGGCCCCGGGCAGAGGGCAGTGCAGCCCCCACCTGACCCAGGTCTCCTCACTCTCTTCCTGAGCCCCTTCCTTCGGCTTTTGGGGAAGAGCAGAGGGAAAAGGGGACGGGAGAGCGGGGCTAGACACCCGGCATTGCAGCCGCAGAAAGGCCTGGGCTTTGCAGCGGGGGCACCTCCTCGGCCTTGAGCTCGCTGCTGGCTGGACTGTCTGCTCCAGGTGGCTATCGGGTGACCTCTAAGTCACTTGCGCGCTGGAGGGGGAGGTGGTTCCAGAGGCAAGTTCGCAGGTGTTTTCTCCTAGTTCCAGTGGTCCCTACTTCACCAGACCACTTTGCTGGGGCAAAAGGGCCTGAGGGATTCGACAGGGCAGAGGCAAGGGCTTTGTTAAACTCAGAGTCTGCAGAATTAAGTAGAGGACAGGGTGTGAGAAGGACGCCCCTTTCTTCTTCTAGTTGGTAACACCCCCCACCTTGGTCCATGCAGTGCCAGCTGCCACCTGCTGGGACTGTCTCCAGTTACAGTCTCAAGGCTGGAAAGAGGCGAGAGAATTGGCCCTGGGAGATGCTTGCATCTTGGGCAAGGAATGTGTATGGGTGGAGGCTGCTTGAGTTGCTCCTTCTGAGGGGCAGAAAGGCTGATGGGGAGTGTCGGGTAGGGACAGACCTGGATCCCACAGACCCTGAGCTGGCTTCATCGTTGATTTGTTGCCATGTAAATCTCGTGGGACTTGTGCACTGGAGGGGGTTGGGGTCAGGTGAGACTCCTGGGAGCTGCAGTTAGGGGATAGACCGAGGTGAGGAGCCTTGAGAAGAAATGACAGGGAGGGGTGGGTGGAGAGCCAGCTCTCCCCACGTGGCAGCTGTGCCCTGGAGGTGTAGCCCTGAGAGAGGAGGTGGGGAGGAGGGATGTGGTGCTCTAGGGAAGGTAGGTGAGCCAGCAGCAGGTGTTTGTGACGAGCGAGGCGTCGGCTGGGGCCCTGGTGGCCAGGTTGCTGTCACTGCTTTTCCCCGCGTTTCTTTTCTCTTTGTCTCTCTCTGTTCCTGTGTTTTATTCTTCCCTTGTTGATCTCTAGGGTGATCATCCCGAGTCCATTTCTTCCTGCTGACTAAGCTAGATCTCTGAATGCCAGTAGAGGCCCCAGGTGCCCCAGATTGACCTGACAAGGCCTTGCTTCATGTCTGACCCCAGCCCTAGATGTCCAGTGCATATTCTCCCCACTTCTTGACCTGGTGCTCCTCGTTTGGCCCAGCTGTAATAGTAAATTGTATTCTGGGTCTGGCCCTCATGTTTACAATTTCATATCAGGTTCAGAATAGTTCTGCGATATATGCATTACCATTTCCCTCTTTCTGATGGCAAAAGGCAGAAGTACTTGCATATACAGCAGGCCTACCATAAAGATAAACTAGAGCAGTTTCTTAAGTCTTGGCTTAAGTCACCGCCCCTTGTACGGATGGCCTGTCAGAGTTCTGTGGACCCCAGAAGATCCACGAAGAATATGACTTGATCCCATGCACAGACGAGCCTTTGACCTACAGCACTGTCTTCATCTTCCTCCTTAATATTAGTGTTAATTGGTTCTGTGCTGAGCATAAGAATGGATGAGCTGGTTTCAACTAAGATCCCCTTGAGCCCCCAGTGCGCTGTTACTCTTCCCTGTGTCTGCGCAGTCTCTTCCTTTGCTTACTCTGGATTTCTGTGCTTGTGTTGCTGTGGACACACTCCCCTTCTGCTGTTAGGGCTTAGAGCACCCGCACCTGCAGCAGCTCTTCAAGACTCAGCCTGGTGGAGTTGTACCTAGCTGGAGAGGATAAGTCCAGAGGTCCTGAGGGAGGAGGTCCAGGGTCTCTTGTCCAGGCATCTCAGTTTCTCCTCCTTCCTGTTGTCATCAGGTCTGGGACCTGCCGCTATGGGGGACATGAAGACCCCTGATTTTGACGACCTCCTTGCTGCCTTTGACATCCCTGACATTGATGCGAATGAAGCCATCCACTCTGAGCCAGAAGATAGTGAGGAGCCAGGAGGCCCAGGGAAGCCAGAAGCGAGAGTGGGTGGAGAAGTGGAGGGCACAGAGGCTGTGGCAGCAGCAGCAGCAGCAGCAGCAGCAGCAGCAGCAGCTGCGGATGACCCTCAGGTTCCAGCCCAGGCCTCTGACCATGGCCTGCCGCCGCCAGATATTCCCACAGTCAGCGTCATTGTCAAGAACACTGTGTGTCCCGAGCAGTCTGAGACCCTGGCTGAGGGTACAGGAGGGGAAGCAGCCCCGGTGGTAGGGGTAACTAAGGAAGGAACTTCGGGGGCTTCTCTGATGCAGAATGGATTTGGGGTCTCTGAGCCATCCCTTCCAGGAACTCCCCACTCCCCAGGTCCTCCCAGTGTGGGTACCTGGAAGGAAAAAGCTATAGAAGGCAACCCCCCCTTGGACCTTTTTGCTCATTTTGGGCCTGAGCCAGGGGAACACCCGGATCCCCTGCCTCCTCCTGCGTCCTCCCCACCTCAGGAGGGGGCAGCAACCCCACCTCCTTTCGCATCACCCTTTGAGCTGGCCCCAGAGAATGGCCCAGTGCTGCTGCCACCTAGCTCCTCCCCACCCCCTGGGGCCTTGAAACAAGAAAGCTGCAGCCCCCTTCATCCCCAGGGACACAGCCAGCGAGGCCCATACTCTAGTCCTGAGGTCACGGGCATCCCTGCGGGCGCCTCACCCACCCAGCTTGATGGGGTACCCTTTTTCAAGCAGTCTCCAGGGCACCAGAGCCCTCCTGCCTCTCCTAATTTGCCCAGCTGTAAGCCCCTGAAGGAAGAAGAGGAGGGGCCGGTGGTCAAGTCTCCTCCTAGAAGTCCCCAGAGTCCTTCTAGTGGAGCTGAGGCTGCAGATGAGGACAGCAATGACTCTCTTGCCTCCTCCAACTCCTCTCGGCCCCTCAAGGTGCGGATCAAGACCATTAAAACATCCTGTGGGAATATCACGAGGACTGTAACCCGGGTCCCCTCAGACCCTGACCCCCCTGCTCCCTTGGCCGAGGGGGCCTTCCTGGCTGAGGCGGGCCTCCTAAAGCTGTCCCCCGCAGCCCCGGCCCCTGAGGGCCCAAAGGTGGTGAGTGTGCAGCTGGGTGATGGCACGAGGCTGAAAGGTACAGTGCTGCCTGTGGCCACCATCCAGAATGCTAGCACTGCCATGCTGATGGCAGCAAGTGTAGCCCGCAAAGCTGTGGTTCTGCCTGGGGGGTCTGCCACCAGCCCTAAGATGATGGCTAAGAACGTTCTAGGCCTGGTGCCCCAAACCCTGCCCAAAGCTGAGGGCCGTGGAGGGCTGGGGACGGGAGGTCAGAAGGTGAATGGTGCCTCGGTGGTGATGGTGCAGCCTTCAAAGCCAGCTACCGTCTTGGGCACAGCGAGTGGAACGGTGATCTCACGGACCCAGTCCAGCCTGGTGGAGGCCTTCAACAAGATCCTCAACAGCAAGAACCTGCTGCCTGCCTACAGACCCAACCTGAGTCCACCTGCTGAGGCTGGGCTGGCCCTCCCACCCACGGGCTACCGCTGCCTGGAGTGCGGGGACGCCTTCTCTCTGGAGAAGAGCCTGGCCAGGCACTATGACCGCCGGAGCATGCGCATAGAGGTCACCTGCAATCACTGCGCCCGTCGTCTGGTCTTCTTCAACAAGTGCAGCTTGCTCTTGCACGCGCGTGAGCACAAGGACAAGGGGCTCGTCATGCAGTGCTCACATTTGGTCATGAGGCCGGTAGCCCTTGACCAGATGGTGGGGCAGCCAGACATCACGCCTCTGCTGCCCGTGGCTGTGCCGCCTGCTCCTGGACCTCTGGTCTTGCCTGTCTTGGGCAAGGCTGAGGGGGCCATCACCTCCTCTGCCATTACTGCAATTGCCACTGAGGCCCCTGTGCTGCCGCTGTTACCAGATCCACCTACTGTCCCCGCCACCTCTGCATACACGTGCTTCCGCTGCCTGGAGTGCAAGCAGCAGTGCCGGGACAAGGCCGGCATGGCAGCCCACTTCCAGCAGCCTGGGCCTGCAACCGCCGGGGCCAATAGCACTGTGAGTTGCTGGTCGTGGTTCTCTGGAGTGGGGACCCCCAGATGCTTCGGGGATGGGGTCTGGGAAGGCACTGGGTGCTTGGCTAGGGGGAGGAAGAGAGGCCAGGTACCCGCCACTGACTCACCTTGCTTGTGCCCTCAACAGATGTGCCCATCCTGCCCTATGATGCTCCCCAACCGCTGCAGCTTCAGTGCCCACCAGCGCACGCATAAGAACCGAGCCCCTCACGTATGCCCTGAGTGTGGAGGCAACTTCCTGCAAGCCAATTTCCAGACCCACCTGCGGGATGCCTGTCTGCATTTCTCTCGTCGAGTGGGATACAGGTGCCTCATCTCCCTGCCTGGTGGAGCTCGAGGCTTTCCTATCTGGGTACCAGCCTTTTTAGATGGCTTCTTGAGGAGAGCCTGGTTTTCTCTGTCCTGGAGTCTGTGGCATTGGCAGAGCTCAGCCCTGGGCTGCCATAGCTGCCTGCCAGCTGTTTCTCGTGGGGCTGGAGAGAGAGGGCTGGCTTGAGCTCCAGCTCTGCCCCCATAGCCTGCCTTGGGGCCTGGACCTGTGCAGCTGCCTCCTTTCTCCTGCTCACTCATGTTCCACCACCGTCCCCTTGTCCACGTCCACCTGGGCCTTGAGAATACGTAGAGGGGTGGAGGACGCCCCTCCTCACCACAGCACTGCCCACTTGCTCCCGCAGGTGTCCCAGCTGCGCAGTGGTGTTTGGGGGTGTGAACTCCATCAAGTCCCACATCCAGGCGTCACACTGCGAGGTTTTCCACAAGTGCCCCATCTGCCCCATGGCCTTCAAGTCTGCACCCAGTGCCCACGCCCATCTGCACTCCCAGCATCCGGCCTTCCTCGCACAGCAAGCCAAGTGAGGCGGGCGGGGTGGCGGGCTGGGGCGGGGCAGGCGCTGCTCACCCCTGGCCGGTGTCTGCACTGTCCCTGCTTCCCCACAGGCTGATCTACAAGTGCGCCATGTGTGACACAGTCTTCACTCACAGACCCCTGCTCTCCTCACACTTTGACCAGCACCTGCTGCCCCAGCGCGTCAGTGTCTTTAAGTGCCCGTCTTGTCCTCTGCTCTTTGCCCAAAAAAGGACCATGCTGGAACACCTGAAGGTACAGGAGCAAAGGCTAGGGTTGGGGTGACGAGCTGGGTCAACCTGGGGTAGGGTCACAGAGCCTAAGAAGTGGGGGGCAGGGGGAAAGGAAGCCCTCTCCATAGCCATTTCCCTGTCTTCCTCACAGAACACGCATCAGTCTGGGCGCCTAGAGGAGGAGACCCCTGGGAAAGGGGCTGGAGAGGGCCTTCTGACCCCCAAGACAGAGCCTGAGGAGCTGGCCGTGTCTCAGGGCGGGGCAGCCCCTGCGACTGAGGAGTCGTCTTCATCCTCAGAAGAGGAGGAGCTGCCCAGTTCTCCTGAGCGCCGACGCCCAGCCAAACGGCCCCGGCGGGAACTGGGGAGCAAAGGCATCAAGGGTGGGGGTGGTGGGCCTGGGGGCTGGACCTGTGGCCTTTGTCACTCCTGGTTTCCTGAGCGTGATGAGTATGTGGCTCACATGAAGAAGGAGCACGGCAAGGTGAGCGGGCTCTGCACGGGGTCAGATAGGCTGGTGTGTGTCACCGGGCTGGGGTCCTGGAGCTGCCCCTGAAACCTTCCCACCCCTGTTCTCTCAGTCAGTGAAGAAGTTCCCCTGTCGCCTGTGTGAGCGCTCCTTCTGCTCTGCCCCTAGCCTGCGGCGCCACGTCAGGGTCAATCATGAGGGCATCAAGCGAGTTTACCCATGCAGGTAACGCCTCCTCCCGTTCCCTGCCTCTGCCTGCCTGGCGCACTTACCCCTTCTTGTACCCTGCAGAACCTTCCTACCACTCTCTTTGGGGTCTGAAGGGCAAGGCCTCCCTTTGCTCTGGTTGGCCTTAGTGCTCTGCCACCACTGGTGACACCCCGCCTCTCCCTTGCAGGTATTGCACAGAGGGAAAGCGCACCTTCAGCAGCCGCCTGATCCTGGAGAAGCACGTCCAGGTCCGGCATGGCCTGCCTCTCGGGCCCCAGTCCCCTGGCAGAGGGAGTGGCCTGGCCCGGGGGCCTGGTGCCAGAGCCCAGGTAGGCAGAGGCCCAGCCGGCAGTGTGCTGGCCGTGGCAGTGGGAGAAGCCGGACAGATTCCAGCCTCAGGTTGCCAGGGCGAGGCTGGTGGGAACTGCAAGAGTGATGGTCAAACTGTTCTTCCATTCTTTTTCAGGGGCCCGGCCGGAAACGCCGCCAGTCTTCTGACTCATGCAGTGAGGAGCCTGACAGCACCACACCACCAGCAAAGCCCTCCAGGGGCGGCTCTGGGTCAGGAGGCCACGGTCCCCTACGCTATCGAAGTGGCTCGGCCGAACAGAGCCTCATAGGGTTAAGGGTGGATGGCGGTGCCCAGCAGTGCCTCGACTGTGGTTTGTGCTTTGCCTCCCCTGGCTCCTTGAGCCGGCACCGATTCATCAGCCACAAGAAGAGACGGGGTGTGGGGCGATCCAGTGTCCTGGGGCTGGGGCCTGGGGAGGAGGAGGCTCTTCCTCTGTCCCGGGCTGACCCAGAGGGTGCTGATTGTCCCCTGCCCACTTCTGGAGGCCCACTGACCTGCAAGGTCTGTGGGAAGAGCTGTGACAGCCCTCTCAACCTCAAGACCCACTTCCGCACACACGGCATGGCATTCATCAGGGCTCGGCAGGGGGGCAGCGGGGACAACTAGGCCCTGGCCCTGGGTCTGACCAGTTCGTCTTCCCTGGGAGCCCGGGGTTTGCTGCTGTTGCTGCTGCTGCTGCCTGCTCCCTAGATTGAAGGAGTTTGGGGAGTTTGACATCACATTGTGTTCGGTCTCTCTTCCCCAACCCTGAAGGAAAAGCTTTTGAGGATCATAGTGGTTTGCAACTCCCCTTCGGGTTTGGCCCTTGGGCCTTCGCAGTTGGGCCCTCCATTCCTGCTTTCTGAACCAGACACTAATCATGCTCCTGCTGCAGACCCTCCAGTGTGCAACCTGGGTGGGAGGACAGGACCGCAACACCCTCTACACTTCCTTCAGGCAGACTTTCTTCCTCTGGGCTGGGCCCTGCCCTAGCACCCCATACTCCCTGGCACTCAAGCCCCTCACCCTGCAGTGCCTTTCACTTGTCTTTTTCCCCAGAAATCCGGGGGGAGGGGGGTTGGTGGGGATGAGTCCTGTCAAGGGGGCCCAGGGAGAAGGGGCAGGCTCTCAGGAATCCTTTATTCTTGTAGTAGTAATACTAACTGGGAGAAAACCAGGCCATTAAAACTGCTCGTGGTTTAATCTCCACTCAGGTCTGTCTATGTGGTTTGGACACTGTGGACTTGGCAGGGGGGGTGAGAGTCAGACCTGGGGATGCCTGCCAGGAGAGGTGGCACTGTTGACCAAGAGGCAGGGAACAAACCTCCTGTGTGGTGCCATTTGTATCCCAGACTTTGTGAGGCATCTGTTTGCTGTGTGGCCCCCTGCTCCCCCCAGATGACACAGATGGCTAACTAAGGACTTTATTTCAAACAAAAATTAAAAAATTGAGAGCTAGTCCCTGGGTGTGAGGATGGGACCAGGTAAGTATTCCTCATGGCTAGGCCAATACCACCAGTACGCTGGAGGGACTGTCATTTCCTTCCTTGCCCAGATGATGGGGAACGCAGTGAGTGCAGGATCCGATGGTCCAGCCCATTAGCAAAAGGACCTGGGTTTGGGTTCAGTCCCAGGGAGGGAGATGGAGCTGGGCAGCAGCATGGCCAAAGTTAACCACAGGATAGAGTCCTAAGTACTACTCAACCCCCTTCCTGGGACCCAGAACAGATGAGGGCAGAGCCTGTGGAAAGACCCTGTCAGAGCCCAGTGAGGGGGGAGGCTCTGAGCCCCCACATTCATCACCTCAATTCTTTGGAGGGCAGTGAGTCTTGGGGTCTGTCAGCTGGTAACAGCAGGGCCAGGGAGCCCCACAATTCTGGACCCTATGGCTGGTGCTCTGCCCCTTGGCCAGCTCTCGCGGTTACATGATCCTTTGTATTTCTTGCCTTCCATTTCCCACGGGTGGATGGGTGGGTGGGTGGGGTTTCCTGGTTTGGGATTTCTCAGACAAGGGCCTGAGTCCCCCACTGTGCCTGGGCTCAGGAGGTGGGGTCACATGATGCCGTTGGTAAGGTACTGGAAGCCATCGTAGAGTTTGGTGGTGATGGACCGCATGCTGCCGTCCACCATCTGCTCCACCAGAAGCTGGAGCTGCTCCTCCGTCATGCTCATGTGGAACCTCTCCTTGAGGTTGCGAATGGTGCTGGAGCCGTGGAAGCAAGGGAGCTGCGAACCTGGGGGAAGTGGTAGGGGTTGAGGGCTGTGAATGGCTAGGCAGGAGGTATGGTGGTAACAGGTGTGGAATACAAAGTCAGGGGTACCAGGAATCCCGTCCCACCTTAGCTCCCTGACAGCATGGAGGGAGTTCTGCTACTGCAGAGACCAGGGTTAGTGGGTGGTCCTGCCTCAAGCCTGTTTCCATCCCACACTGCTAAGTTTTAGCTCTGCTGGTGAGGGGTGTGGGCAGAGGAGGGAGGGCCCATACCGTCTCCCCCAGTAGGGGCTGAGGGAGCAGCCCTGGCCCTGAGGAAGGCTGGGCACGGGCCCTGGGCACACTTATCTGCTTGCAGGACTCTGCCCTATGCTACGTCTGACACTCACAGATGACTTGGGCCACCGTCATCAAGGGGGCAGAAGGGGAGGCTCCTGTGCAACAGCGACAACCTGTGGGGTGGGGTGGGGTGGGGAGACTGGCAGCTTAGATCTGGTGCTTGCTGAGGAGGGGAATGCAGGACAAGGGCCCAGGGGAGCAGGCAAATGACTACAGATAGCAAGGGAATGAGAAGCAGCAGAGTGGAAGACAACAGATGACACAGGAAAACCTCAGCAGGATGGGCAACTACTGGCAAAAGGAAGGCGGCCTGATATGGGTGGCTAGGCCAGGGTAACCAGAGTCAAAGTGCAGCGGGGAGGAAAGCGAAGAGTGATGGAGGGAGGAGACCAAGAAAAACTGAGTTGGGCCAGGGCGGGAGAAGATAGAAGGTCAGGGAGGGGCTTTCTCTCTGAGGGTGCCGAGGAGACTGTTACCGCCACCCTCACCCCTCCCCAGGCCCAGCTCTGCCAGGATCGGGAGGAACCGTCCTGAAGGAGAAAGAAACTGAGCACTGGGTCTGATCTGGGGTCTCCTGGGAACCCTCCCGGATTCCCACACCCTGCCAGTCTGGTTCCGGAGGTGGCATCAACTTTCTGGGAGCCCTAAGTGCTAGCCCCCCAACCTGAGTGGGGCTCCAGCCCACCTTGCTGCATGATCTCCACGATCTGCACCACCTTGTCCATGTGCTTCCGCGCGGCAATCAGCCCCTGCAGCATCAGCATCTTGTAGTAGTTGAACATGTCACCGTCCAGGCCACCCATCACCTGGGGAGGGACGAAGGTGATGTGTGATGGTTCTTCTCCCACAGGTGTCCTACAGTGCCTCCTCTCTTGGGGCAGTGGGGCCAAACTCCCTTATTTCCCAGCCCTTTTCAGGCAGGAAACTGCCACAAATCCTGTTTCACCCTGGCTTACTGCCATTCCTGTTCCGTTCACTCCTGACTCGGAGGGAGCCATCACCCGCCTCTCCCACAGCACAGTACAGTGACCTTGGAGGGACTGCTCCGTCCCAACTCACATCTACAAACTCTGTGGTCAGCTTAAAGGCGGACGTCTCAAAGCCCAGGTTTCGGGGTGAGCTGGACAGGATGAAACCAAAGTCGATGTGGATGATGTGGCCTTCTGCATCCAAAAGGATGTTCCCATTGTGTCTGAGGAAGAAGAGAGGAGAGGAAGGGGCAGCAGTGAGTTGGCTGTGGCTGGAATCACTGGCCACAGGACGCTGTGGATTCCACGCTGGGTGGAAGTCCTCTGTGTGCTTCCTGCTGCCCACAGCTCTAGAATCTACAGCTAACGGTGAAAAGAAAGATCAGAAAAGAACACTGCTAACAAAAGCTTCGCGGTCTGAAATTGCTATCATTAGCAAGAGAATCAGAAGGTTAAGATTATCCCAACTGCCCAGAAATTACACTTACAGCATCCAAGCAGATCCCAATCTAGTAAGAACCCAGACAGAAGCCAGGAAAGAAGGCCTCCTCCTCCAGCCAGCTGTGGCACAGGCCAAGCGCTGCTAGGTGAGAGGCCTCCGCTCAGAACCAGTTCATCTGTGTTGCATTTGTAATCCCTATCAGCCCCTACGGAACAGAAGCCCCCTTGAGGAAGTAACAATGAGGGGCATCAGGCTGAGTGGACCTTAAATGTAAAAATGTAAATAGTGTCGGGCATCAAGTAGAAAGTTTTAAATCATTTTTATGTAAAAACCCCAGGAGGCAAGCACTACAGGCAGAGGAAGAAGAGTTAAAGAGATAAATCGCAGGTCTTTGTGATTCCCACATGAATGGGTTAGAAAGAACAATTAGCATGTTAAGCACGTGAGGCCCGGTCTTCTCACTTCAATAGGGGCTTTGTTAGCTAAGACTGGCTTGGTGTGAGGGCCACCTTCTCTGGGGATGGTCCGCCTAGCCCAAAGGACAGAGGGAGTCGCATCTGAGTCCACCCCTTCTGCGGAAGCGTTGAACGTTTAACAGGACCCGTTCAACCTTGAGTGCCCGAGACATCCTCATGTGTGCTCTCAGGCCTGAATGGGTGTGCGGGGGCAGTTTCTTATCTCCAGTCGGAAAGGTGCCTGGGCTTCATCCTGAAGTGAAGGGATCTTACTGGGGACCAGTCACTGTTGCCACTTCATTCCAGTGGCTGATTCCGTTCTGGCTTAACCATATCTATTCTGTCCTTTCTTTTTTGGGTACTGGGGATTGAATCCAGGGTCTTCACAGTGTGCCCTTTTTATTTTTTAATTTGAGACGGGGTATTAAGATACTGAACTGCCCGGGCTGGGCTCAAATTTGTGATCCTCCTGCTCAGCTTCCGAGGGCCCTGGAATTATAGGCATGTGCCACCATGCCTGGCTATCTTTCTTTCTTTTTTTTTTTTTTTTTTTTTTTTTTTTTTTTTTTTTTGGTTTTTCTCCGGTACCAGGAACTGAACTCACGACCTTGCGCTTGCCAGGCAGGCGCTTTGCCGCTGAGCTAAATCCCCAGCCCGCCTGGCTATCTTTCTATTCTTTTTCTTCCTCCCCTCCTTCCTTTTTTCTTCCCTCCATTCCTCTCCCTCTCCATTTATTTATTTATTTATTTTCCGGTACCGGGAATCGAACTCACAACCTTGTGCTTGCCAGGCAGGCGATGTGCCACTGAGCTAAATCCCCAGCCCTTCTCCCTCTCCTTTTAAAAAACAAGCTCTGAGCCAGGGTGGGTGGTGGTGGTGGTGGTTGTGGTGGTGCACACTTGTAATCCCAGTACTTAGGAGGCTGGGCAGGACTGCCATGAGTTCAAGACTAGCCTACGCTTTGAGTTCAGGGCCAGCCTGAATGACACACTGGACCTTGTCTCAAACAATATACAAAACAAAACCACAAAAAACAAGCTCTGGAAGTTTTATTAAAAATTTTGCATGCGTATCCTAGCATGCTTGCATCGGTGACAGCGCGTATACTGTAGCGTTTCCCCCACCTTGTGCCCGATTCACTTTTAGTGTCATGGTAGTGATCAGCACTGGTTTGGTCACATGGTACAGAATTCTACTACAGATTTCCTCAAAGCTTGGCAGTTGTTGGCAAGGATAACCGATTTCATTTTGACTTTTGACTGCAGAGTCTGCCTGTACCCTAGCACCTACTTTATTTGTAGTTATCCTTTGAGTGTAGTTTTATTAGTTTACATTTGTGATGCACAGTGATTACATTCATCCTGGGGCACTGGCATATGTATCACAGTTTAGTCATTTCTATCTGTTCCTCCTCTCCACTGTTTTCTAGGCAAGCGCTTGTGCCACTGAGCTATAGCCCCATCCCTCCACTCTTTCCTGTCTCCCCTTACTCCCAGATTCCCCTTCTATCTCCACAGTCTACTGCCCTGCTTCCTATCATCTGTATTTTATTTTGGGTTTCTTGTTAAGAGAAACTATATCTCTGTATCTGATTTATTTAACATTATGGTCTCAAATTATATCCATTTTCCTACAAATGGCTCGTTTATCTTTCTTTATGGCAGGGTAGTGCTCCACTATGTATAAATGCCACATTTGCTTTATTCCTTCATCTGTTGGTGGGCATATAGGCCATTAATTTGCCCCAGCACCTACTTGAGACAGGGTCCTGCAGTTCATGCTGGCCTTGAGCTGACTTTGTAGCCCAGGCTGGTCTCAAATTCGCAACAATCCTCCTGCCTCAGCCTCCCAAGTGCTGGGATTACAGTTGTGCGCCACCACACCTGGCTACATTCAGTTTTATAAATTGGAACCTAGAATTGATCAACTTCTGCTGGTTTTATTTCTTCAGTGACTTTTTCTCTTTGTGGCCGCCAACTTCCTGCCACAGGTGTCGGATGGCTCCTAATCACCAGGAGCCCTACATCTATTCCATTTTTAAGAGATCTTGGTATCATTGTTATGAGGTCTCACAGGCTGGCGTTGAACTTGCATCCATCTGCCTTAGCCTGCCAAGTAGCTGCGATTATGGATGGATGCCACAGCACTTGGCTTCTATCTCTGTTATCTTTTAAGTTATTATAAATAGTGGATCACCCCCCCATAAATAATGCCACCCCGATCCCTTTTACAGGATAGGTTCTTATCTTCTAAACATAATAGTTTCTTAAAGGAAAGCCCCAAGCCTGCCTACTGCCAGCTTTCCTGCCACACATTTACTCAACACTGGGCTGAGCCCTGGGCACTCTAGGCCCTGGGTTCAAAATCTTGATGCTTCAAGGGATGGTATAAGCTTGCAGACAAGCGTCTTATAATTTGTTTGCCCTACACTGTTCTAAAAGCCACCTGGCCTGTATTTTCTTCATGAGGAAATACCTATCTGATAGACTTTTCATCCTGTGTTGGAGTGAGAAGAAGTTCACGGCTAGGGGCTTCAACTTATCTCCACCAAATCCCTCATTCGTCTTCCTTTCCGCTCAGCTGCAGTCACTACCTTCAAGCCAGGCTCCATTACCTTCCTCCTGGTTGCTAAAGGTCCAGTTACATCCACCCTCAGCCACAGTGCCACAGGGCTCTGACTCAACGCAGACCACACTGCTCATTCCTATGCCTGCAAATAAAACTCCTCAGCCTTATAACATGCGCCCCTGCCAACCCCCGTGAAACCCAGGGGCTGGCACATGCTTGGCAAGTGCTCTACACCAGACCTACGGCCCTTCTAATTTACCTCAACTTATGTGTCTGATGTCATCCCGTGCTACTCCCCTGCTGTGCAGTATAGCACAAGCTTAATCCCACTAAAGTACTTTCTCACAGGGAACGTATTTCCTCCACGGCTTAACCTGTTCTCATTCTTCCTTGTCTTCTTGGTCCCTGTTCACTCAAGCCCTTACTCTTCCCAGAAATCCTTCATTTCTTTGCTCTTTTACCCTAGTGCTCGTCAATCTGCCTCCTTGGCTCACTGTCATTTAAATGTGTCTGTCTCTGCTAAAAATATGTTGCTTGTTCCATCAACTGAGAGCCGCACATAAAGGGCACAGGGGACCCTGGTGAAAGATGAGGGGTAGAAGTCACTTACCTGTCCTTGACTTGCAACAGGTAGCAGACCAAGCAGTAGCCAGCGCAACTTTGCACAAAATTGCGCTGGGCACTGAGGAATGCCTCCGTGGTGTAGCTGCCATGTTCCTGGAGGAAGTAATCAAGCAAGGACAGCTGAGACTGTTTCTTCACCTGATGGATGGATACGGCATTGACCACTGGTTCAATCATGCCACTGTCAGCCGAGATCACAAGAATCTTGTATGGCTTGATCCAGAGGGGCACTCGCTCTTGTTCCCAAATGGACTGTGAGGAGACATGGAGGGACTGGCACTCTCACCTTCCTCCGAACAAGGGAAGAAGGCTAAAATTCCCCTTTTTCCCGCCTCTCTCCTTGGCAACCTTAGATTCTAGGCCATAAAGTGCATAGGACCCACTGACCTACTGAGAATCAGGAAGCACTGAAAGGAATTCCAGGGCCTGACACAGAAGGGAAACTACTCTTAGAGGTATGGAGGACAGCTACCACCTAGGTAGAAAGTCCAAAAAAGGTGGAGAAAGGAGGAAAACTCACTGTCACCTGACAGGCAGGGAGAGTGCAAGATAGTAATGTAAGTTCAAAGTATAAGAAAAAAGAAAGAAAAAAAGAAAAAAGATGGGAAGATTTAGCTTTCAGAGAAAGCTTCTCTAGAAAACAAATACACTGATATAAAGAACTGGGTGGAACAGGTGAAGCTGCTCGCTGGTAAGTGGCCCAGGGGCTCGGGGGTCAGTATCAGCACACCGTGACCCACAACCGCAGGCCATTTGGGAAGTTCTGATTTTCTTTGAGACAGGGTCTCGCTATGCAGCTCAGGCAGGCCTCTAGCTTGCTACAGAGCCCAGGCTGGCCTCGAACTTGTGGTGATCTTCCTGTCTCAGCCTCCCAAGTGCTGGAATTATAGGCATGCACCACCACTCCCAGTCTGGGAAGTTCTGATTTAAAGGAGAAACAAACCTACCACCCTGACATGCAGGGGTCAGAACAGGGTAGGTGCAGTTCCAAAAGAGCCAACAGAGGCCACTGTGGAGCTGTTTCTGGGACTTCAGTTCCCAGGGAAAGGAGTGGCCTGGCCAGCTGTAGTTTAATCTGCTTCCAACTGAGAGGTGGGCTGGAAGCTGGTCCCCAGCAGAGCTCCCTGCAGCCCCTGTGTGGTTGCTCAGGTGGTCTGGAGTTAGGCTGAGCTCCCTTTTCCTCCCTCCCTCCCTCCTTTATTTCTTTTGTGTATGTTTTGGGGGGTACTGGGGATTGAACCCAGGGGCATTGAACTGAGCTACATCCCCAGCCCCTTCTGTTTTTTGAGACAGGGTCTCACTAATGCTGGGCTTGAACTTGCAACTCCCCTGCCTCAGCTTTCCTGGCTGCTGGGACTACAGGCATGTGCCACCATCCCTGTCTCCCTTTCTGTTTCTTTACCTGCAGTTGCTTCAACACCTGGAAGGCCAGCAGCTCCTGCCGAAGGTCATCACCACACTTGACAATGACTGACAGGAGCCGCCAGTTGGGGAGATGGCCATAGGGGGAGGCTTCTCTGATCCGCCTGTTAAGAAAGAAGTAAAGGCTATCACAGGGTGTTGACATGTGGGTGAGGACGCGGGGTACCGGGAAATTTGATGGAGTTGCTGGAGGCAGATGGGCAATAAAGATGGGCAGTATGTGGGTTTACAAGAAGAGGGAGGGCCGGGGATACAGCTCAGTGGCACAGCGCCCGCCTGGCAAGTGCAAGGTCCTGAGTTTGGTTCCTGGTACCAAAAAACGCCCCCCCAAAACAAAAACAAAAACAAAAAACCCAACAAACATAAGAAAAGGGAACTCTTAAGTATTTATTTGGCAGAACTAAGCTTGCTTCATAGAAATACCGGCATTTTTAAGCTAACTTGGTAATGATGTTTCTTAGTTCAAGTCTACCTCACAGAGCAGGTTTGCTTTGCTCTGATTGGCTTGTTTTATGTCTATAAGCTTTCTAACTATTGTTTGTCAGTGTTCTAATATTTTAGGATGCTGACTACAGAACAGACAGGATTAGACTTGATTGGACTCTAGATAAACTCAGCTTAAGAATCACTCTATTTTTTTTTTTGTCTTTTTGAGACAGGGTCTCGCTATGCAGTTCAGATGGCCTTGAGCTCACTTTGTAGCCCAGGCTGGTCTTGAACTTGCAACGATCCTTCTGCCTCAGCCTCTTGAGTGCTAGGATTACAGGGGTGCTCCACCACACCAGGCTTTTTTTTTTTGTTCCAGTACCAGGAATCGAACTCATGACCTTGTGCTTGCCAGGAAGGTGCTGTGCCGCTGAGCTAAATCCCCAGCCCTAAGAATCACTCTTTCTAAATCTCGGATATTGCTCAAATTTGGCAAGAAGGGTTTTATGATCCTGACTCTAGTCAAATGTCACATCCCTCCAACATGGGACATATTCTGACTGACTGACCATCAGTGGGGAAAGCTCCCTCAGTGTTAAGGGTTAACTGGTCTTTAGAGAAGAAAATGCATTCAGAGACAAGGGAGGAAACTGGTAGAGTCATGGGGGAGTCAACCCTACTAAAATAAGTGGAGTTGCAGAGACAAAGAGTGTTCTTATGTATGACTGCCTAAAGCAGAAGGCCCTTCTAGCAGGTGTAGTTGCTAGATGTTTTTTTACTTTATTTCTCTTTTGCATTTGACCTCACAATCTTCAGTCATAACCTTTTTCTCTTTTATTTTTCCTTTTTTTGAGATGGGGTCTTCTATGTAATTCAGGCTGGCCTTGAACTCACAGTGACCCTTGTGCCTCAGCCTCCCGAGTGCTGGGATTACAGATGTACCATCACGCCTGGCTTTTAGTGATAGTCTTTTTCCTTTCTTCTTTTTGAGACAGGGTCTTACTATGTAGTTGAGGCTCGCCTTAACTCACTTATGTAGCCCAGGCTGGCCTCGAACTCCCAATGATCCTCCTGCCTCAGCCTCCTGAGTGCTGGGATTACAGGCATGCACCTCTACGCCCCAGCAAGTGATAGCCTTTTAAGGCTTCTCTTTATTTGTGTTCCAGCTACCTTTGATGAAATCTGCACACCAATCCAACATGAGAGCCAGCCAGATAATATGGCACTCTCAGGCCCTTAAAACTGAGGATTTGCTAGGCATGGTGGCACACACCTGTAATTCCAACACTTAGGAGGCTGAGGTAGGAGGATATCTGCAAGTTTGAGGCCAGCTTGGGCTACACAGTGAGTTCAAAGCCAGCCTAAACTACATAGCAAGATACTGCCTCAAAAAAAAAAAAAAAAAAGAAACCATTTATGTTAGTTTTTTTCCCCCTTTCTTCTGTCTTTTTGAGACAGTGTCTCACTACACAGTTCAGGCTGGACTTGAGCTCACTTTGTAGCCCAGGTTAGTCTCAAACTTGCAACGATCCTCCTGCCTCAGCCTCCTGAGTGCTGGGATTACAGTCGTGCACCACCACACCCAGCTTTTTTTCCCTTTCAGGACAAGTAGCTCCTCCAAACTTTCTCAGGCTTAGGGAATCACTCCTCAGCCCAGATAAAGGATCAGAATATGCAGCTCCTGGAACAGGAAGTCAACCCAATTTCATTCCTTTGGACAAGGGAGGGAGAAGTCCAGGTCCAGGAAGGGATGGAACAAGGCTGAACACACCTATTGTTCCACTGTGTTCCTGCCCCTTGCTCTTCCTTGTTATAAAAGAACCCAACATATCTGGACACGGTGAGATGGTGATTTGAGGCAAATGGGCCCCTCTGTCTTGGAGATAGCTTGGAATAAATCTTTAAAAAAAAATGCAGTGGAAATCAGCAATTTCCTTGGACATTTCAAAGCATTAGAGACCTTGTCCTACCCCACTCACCGCACTTTTTCCTGCCAGGGCTCTTTGAGAGCAACTGCAGAAGGGTCTTCCGGGTCTCGCCTGAAGGCTGTCGGGGTGTGGGCCAGCTGCTCTGAGAGGCGCCGTCTAGCAGGAAGAAAATACATCATGTGCTTGGAGGAGTTACCACAGAGCCTCATGTCCCTGTCTATGCCAGCATTCTCTGCACTGTTTCTGGATTCTGGGCACAAAAAGATAGGATTGGAGGCTGAGAGAGACTCATGGAAGGAAGCATAATTAATGGGACCATTTCTGGTAGTTTGTGATCATGTTAAGCTGCAGAGCACTGACCCTCCCACTCTTCCAACCCAGCAGTGATTCAGAATGGGAATGACCCCACAATCTGCATTTCCAACAGATTCTGATTTCTTAGCCACATTTTTTTTTTTTTTTTTTTTCCGGTACCGGGAATTGAACTCACGACCTTGAGCTTGCCAGGCAGGCACTGTGCTTTTTTTTTTTTTTTTTTTCCGGTACCGGGAATTGAACTCACGACCTTGAGCTTGCCAGGCAGGCACTGTGCCGCTGAGCTAAATCCCCAGCCCCTGATTTCTTTTCTTCCTGGATTCTGAAGCATATCTATTTCAGACCCCACTTTGAGAATCACTGCTCAAATTCTTTTCTTGTGGTTTCATTTCTTTGGAATCTTCTTAAAATCTTATTCCTTTTGTAGTAGTTTAAGCAGTATCTCAACCTATACCTTTACCGCTTCAGGTTTGGTGGCCTTAGGACAAGCACAGAATAAAGAGAAAAAAGGAAAAGACACTGGCTGACACAGATGAAGGGAACAAAGAGAGAGGCAGTGTCTGAAAGAGGGATGGGAAATGAAGGTGACATGAGCTGGCCATACCGGATGTCCCCTGCTGCAATGAACACAGGTTCCTTGCTCTCCTGGCTGGTGATGCTGTCCACGGAGAACTGGGAGATGTTGTCACAGCTGTTGGTGTGCACTTCAGGGAGCTGGGGACAGCAGGGCAGGGCTGGTCAGCAGTGCTAAGCACAGTCTCCCTCACTTACTGCCTGCCTGGTTGCCATCACCATGCATGTTTCCCTGTCCCTGTCAGCCTACTTCAGAGGCCTCCCCTGGTTCCACGCCATCCTGACCTCTGGGACCCAAGCTGCCTGGGCACTCATGTGGACCCAGCAGCACTATGTCTCCAAGTGTGCACAACCGGCACCGGAATTGGCAGAGACGCTTGCTGAAATACAGGTTCCCATGGGTCTCAATAAGGAATAATGGGGAATGAGATGTGGAAGTGTAAATCTTTAACAGGTTCTCCAACATTAAAATTGACAAATTACTGCCACGACCATCACAGAAACCTCAACTTTGAGTCTCAGACTGAACCCTCTGTGGTTAGGGATGAATTTCCCCTGGGGCTCCAGATTGTTCTTCTGACCATTTCTTCGTTTAGGTCACACAATCAAATCTCATTTCTGATTGTACCAGGTCCCACGTCCCCTATGAAGTTACTCTCTCCTTCTGATACCAGCATCCTCCTTTTTGACTGCCACTTATACCCCATGCTTACTGCCTTGTACAGTATATTTTAACGTTACTCTTAAATGTTTATGTCTAACTAACTGGATGGTAAGCTCAAAGGCAGTTTTTCACAGAATGCTCTAAAAATAAAATCCCACTCTGGCTCTCTGTAACTGCAGAATAAACTAAGTTTCTCCCACAGCGGGCCTGCTCCTTCCCACAATTTGGCACGTGCCAAGCTCTGCAGCCTCATTCATCATTATCTCACCTTACATGCATGGCTAGACAAATGCCCTTTTGCTTCCTGTCGTGGCCAGCTCCCACTTCTGGTCTTGGTACAAATTTCCTTTGCCCAAAGGTTCTTTGTCCACTTCTTCCTACCATCCTCAGCCTCAGCTGAGAGGCAACTTCTTCCTGAGTCTGGAGTAAAGACGACCTCCACCCTCAGGTGTTCCCTGCCCTTCCACTTATCCTCCACAACCTGGATCACACTGTATTATACTGACCTGCCTACTGCTCCTTTCCTTCTCCTGTTAGGGCCTAGACTCCTTGTAGGTGGGGGCCATATCTTGTTCACTAGCATACAGCACTCAGGTCTGACACACAGACGGCTCTTACTGCATATTTCTTGAATGAAAGAACGTCTGATTCACTACTTATGTTACCTTAAGACAACTTTCTTTCTTTGTTAAAAATAAAATCATTCTATTTCATAATTGAAATGTCTAGAAAGAATATGTTTGTTTGTTTTGTTTTGTTGTCTTTTTTGAGACAGGGTTTTGCTATGCAGTTCAGGCTGGCCTTGAACTTGAAGTGCTCCTCTTGCCTCAGCCTCCTGAGTGCTGGAATTACAGGTGCACCACCACGCCTGGCTAGAACAATGTCTTTACAACAAAATGTTTCCTATCATAGGAAATTTGCTGTACTGAAACCATGTTGTGAAGTTATCATATCATTAAAATTTTGTTACCTTATTTAATACTTTTAGGATAATATGAAGAAATTCAGTTCTGATTCAGATACAGAACCAATCTCTTCCTGAGAATAGACTCTGGCAAATTGGTTACTGTTCATATAGGAAATTAATCCAGAATTTAGAAAGTAATATTTTGAGCATTCATGAGACATTTCTATAGCAGAGGTTCAAAAAATATTTTCAATGAATTTCCTCTATTCCCCTGGTTCTAAAAATTACTCCTTACATTTAACTTGAACTCACTCAGGGGAACAAGCCCTACCCGAACCTATTCCTATTCCATCCAGGCCAGCACTGCTCAGGGCACTTGCTGTCACACTCTACTGCCTACCCCGCTAGCTCACGTGGGCACTCACCTCCTCCTGCCAAGGGTGTGTTACTGAGTCGTGAAGTGCAAGCGTCTGGAGAGCAGGTGCTGTGCCTCAACACTACCATTCTGGACTCCCTTACCTCCACCTGCAGCTCGCCTATATCGTCCACCGACCAGGCTTCGTCGTCATTGTCATAGTTGGGCACGGTGCTGAAGCTGCCAGCCCGCTGCTCGTGGGTGATACCACATTCGGGCAGATTCTCCACAGACCGAGTGCTCCGGATTCGGTTCTCAGGGATCCGGGCAGGGACGCTGGTGGTGTCAAAGTTTTCACATTCTAGGACTTCCACGTAGATCAGGTAGGGAGCCTGGTGGGGCAGTGAGAACAACATTTGCAGCTTACCTCCAACACTGTCTCCACTCGGTTAACACAGCTCTCCTGCTGCCCACTCCCAGCTCCAGCCTCCATCCGTGAGCCCCTTAATAGTATGGATACCATATTTAGGGCTGGAACTGGTCATACGATTCCTATATAAAGAATTTGGGTGAGAGAGTACACAAGTCTTCTAAATGTTTCAGCTGGGTTTCAGAATGCACAGACAATGCAGTTGTGCAAAATTCTCCCAACCATCAATTATAGCTTGGAAGAGAGGCCTAGAAGCCTCTGCTGGCTTGTCCTAAAGATAGGCTGGGTATGGCAGTGCACACCTGTAATCCTAGCACTCAGGAGACTGAGGCAAGAGGACTGCCTTGGGTTTGAGGCCAGCCTGTGCTACATAGTGAGCTCAAAGTCAGCCCAAACTACATAGTGAGACCTTGTCTTCAATAAACAAATATAAAGACAAGGCCCAGGCAACTGCTGTGGACAAAAAGACTGGATCAAACTGGGCCCTATCTCAAAGAGGATTCTGATCTTCAACACTTCCTCTGAAAGAAAAATCTGAACCTTGAGTACTCATTCCTTACAGAAAGGCTGGAGCAGAGCCACCAAAATAACTATAAAGGGATGGAAAACAATGCTTTTGAGAAATAGCAGCAGGCAAGTTGAAAAGTTTAGGCCTCTTTGGTCCAGAAGAGCAAAGCCCAAGAGGGACAGGTGGGCTCTGAGAATCATGGCTGCACTGAGGTGGAGTCAGCTTGACACACGCACCACAGATGATGATGGGTCTAGGGTGTTGGTACGCAACTCCTCACAACCCTGAACAATCATGGGAGTAGAGTGAGGTCAGCAGTAGGGTTTGGGCCAGAGCCTGCTTACCTTGTCCTTGGAGTTGAGGACAACAGCCTGTGTGTGGGGCACACGGACCACGTGGTGGTCAAAGCCAGCAGTGGGTAGCCAGACGCGGGCAGGGAGCTTATGGTTGAGTAGGGAGAGCTCTGAGATCAGCCGCTGTGTTTTCTGCTCTTTGGTGGGGAGGGTGGCCAGCCGCTTGCCAATTGCCATCAGGGACTTGATGAATTCTCGCTCAGGGGCCAGTCGGACAGGCTAAAGAGGGTGGGCATGAAACAAATGGTGGTGAAAAAACTACAGAAAAAAGTGGCTTACGCTGTCAATCACTCCTGGCTCTGTTGGCCAAGAAGCCCAGGAAAGCCTAGAGAAACTTTTTGCTGTGGTAGGAAATTCCACCCTGCCCCTCTGAGCTCAAATTGGGTACAGCCAGCACATTGCTCCCAGTCTACTTCTTGAGAATAAAGGGGCCCTGAGTCCAGGTTTCTGGGATGTACTCCTCTTCTCTTAGACTTGTGTTCCTCAAGGACTGTCCCAAGGCTTTCGGATAGGCAGGGGGACAGTATCTGGAGAGGTTGTCCAGGGTCCACACAGAAGAGCTGCTTATATCTGCAGTGCTTCACTCATCTCAAGAATAGGGCTGCCCCTCTCCCCATTTGGGTCCTTGACCTGGATCTCCACTGAGGGGCTCTGCCAGGGCCTACAAGGCCTGGGAAGGGAGATCTAAGTCAGTATTTCCCCTTTCACAGAAGGAACAATTCTGCATCCAAATGACTTGTTGCTCTCCATGACACTCTACAATCTTGTCCATCCCACAATTTCTTATAAGGGATCAGTGCACATGCAGGCAATGCGGAAATGAGCAAACTGCATTAATGAGGAACAGCCAATAATCAGTGGGCAAAGAAAAAGCAGATGGAGGAGGGAGGGAGGCATGGGCAGGGGGATGGAGAAAGCAACAGCTCCTTTTAGCCTTTGATGGCGGCCCTGAAGGCCTATCTCGGATGATTCCTCCTTGGACCCTCTTCCTCTACCTCTTGGTGACTACACTCCTCATAAGCTCCTGCTCTGAGTGTGGCTCCTTTTGGCAGGCCCTTCAGTGATTCCCAGAAAAAGTACAGTTAGTTTGGATGGAGAGTAAGATGAGTTGTGGAAAAAGATGGACTCAGCTAGACATGAAGAAGGGCTCTGTTCCCAGTCTCTTCTACCAGAAGGGGCATTTTACCAAAACAGCCACCTTAGTCCCCACTCCCGCTGTCCTCAGCTAGTAAGAGCATTACCTCCTTTTATAGGAATAGCATTTCATTCTCTAAGTGTGTCTTGCTTAGTTTCCTGACTGAGAATTTCTACCCTCGCTCCCTCACACTGCAAAGAAAGCTTCTTTTGAAAACTAAGTGGCTCCAGGTCCACCTGTGCAGGTGTGACAGAGCAAAGGCCAGCTCATCACTCAGTCTCTACCCCACTGTGGGAGGAGGCAGGTTGTCTTAGTGCAATACACAGCAATGAAGCAGCTGGAATGAGTCAGAACACTTTAGCGAGCAAGGTTGAAGAGAGCTAAGAAAAGGAAGACAACAGAATTGAGTTTCTACAGTCCCTAGAAATATCCTGGTGGCCAAATAGAGAAAGAAAAGAAGAGGAAATCTGAAGGCTCATTCCATCCTGATCCCCTAATCTATCCACTGAGTGACAAGTGGTCACCTTTCCACTGACTTTCCATCCCAATGAATTCATACTCTTCTCAGGTTAGAAAAGGCAGAATTCCTTCCTACCCTAAATTATGTGAGAGTATGTTGGAAATGTGACCCCAGGCCTGCAGAGAGAGGCTCTGCTACATGGGAGGAGAAAGGAATAATGATTTAAAGGGGATTAGCACAGAACATAGAAAACTGATTGGGTAGACCATTAAAAAAAAAAAAAAAAAGGAAAATAAAAAAATCAGCCAAACTCCCAGGGGGTCCAGCATTTCCTCTCACGTCTTTGCCCAGCAACAAAGTCCAAGACCCTGTGGGACTAGAGGGTCCGGGATAGTGCAGAGGGAGCAAGAAAGGAGAATGGGATTAAGGAACATCCTTGGAAATAAGCTGGGAAAAGGGAAGAACTCAGACCTGGAAGAAAGGTAGCTGAAGTTAAAAAAGATCACCAGTAGTGGAGAGGTAACACTTTCCTTCAGACCAAGTCCTATTTGCTTTTGGAATTGGCTCACCCTGCACAGGGCCTTGCATTTAGAAGACTCAATACATATTTGATGGTCTGATGGCAAAAGCCACAGGGAAAGGGCTCTGGGTGGGAGAAACGGGATCCTGGGGGTTTCTGCCAAGCAGTTCTTGGCTCTAATCCAGGAGTAAATTCTACCTCTCTCCCAGCTGTTTCCTCCGGAGCCCCAGGAGCTGGGAGCTGGGAAGCGTGGTACCCCAGCTGTCTCTGAGAGATCAACTAAGCTCATCTGAGCCTGGGCTCAGGGCCCTGGCAGCAAAGGTCAGGGGGGATCCTCCAGGTCTGGGTGCTCTGGGAGACCTGAAAGGGAGGAAGTGACTCCCAGGAATTAAAGGGGCCTTTGAACTCCAGTCTTGGCCTGAGTGCTCAGAAGACCTGGGACGGAGAGGAAATGCGGCCATGGGGGGAGCCTGCCACCCAGTCCCAGCCTGGCCCCACTTACGGAACTGAATGAATTATCAATACTCTCGGTGCTGGAGGAGAGCTCCTGGGAAAGGGCCAGAGGGTGAGGGGAGGAAGAGGGGGCAGGGAGGGAAAGGAGAGAGACAAAGGCAAAGAATTTAGCTTCACCTTGGATCAAAACTGCTTCTGTGCAGCTCTATCTGTGTGCTTAATGAAAGAAAGACAACCCAGAAACACACCTGCCCAGATTCTAGACACTTGCAGGCGATGCTGGAGGCCAGCCTAGACCTTGAGGTCAGAAGGGCCAAAGAAACAAGGAAGTCTTTCTCTGGCTTTCCTCCTGACTGGACAATCTTCCTGAAGTAATCTTCCTTTTAAGATAAAACCTAAAGCTGGGTTCCTTGGGGCAGTTAACTGTGCTGCCAAGTTTCCTTGTTCTTTCTCTTCACCTCTTATATGGTATCAACCAACCTCTTCTCTGTGAGGACCACCAGAGACTGGATTTAATAAGCTACATAGCCCCCATACTGAAAGCGCCATGTTCCTCCAGTTTGTTAGAAATCCTAGGCAGTAAAGGGAGCCAAACTTTCAGTGCCAAGCCCCTATTCCCCCTCTAATAAGCCTTATTATCGCCCTGGGAAAAGTAATCCCAACCTTGAACTTGTGTGACAAAGGGCACCCCAGACCCATGACTTGAAACTTGCAGGGTGGATGCTGGTGGATGTAAGGATACATCAATTAAGCATTTATCAAACCTCAGGCTTCCTAGCAGGCTATTTCACATGACACTCAATATACTTTTTTTTTTTTTTTTAGTTAAATTGGGAAGTTAGGGTCTAGCAAAATCCATCTGAGAAGCTGACTACCCAGGGCAGCAGCTATCCTAGTCCTACCCAGGGGAATAATCTTAACCATATCCCATTCTTGTGTCATAGTGGGGTCCATGAACAAAACAGGGCAGTTCTGTGGCAATGCTCATGCACAAGAATACCCTGGATCTTTCCAACAAGGTCTACCAGGGCAGGGAAGCAGGGACAGCACGTGTACAAATACGCAAGAGGAGAGGGGCCTGGACTTCAAAAGGAAAAGTCCTTTAGATATCAGGGCAGGAAGGCAGTGGGCACTGAGCTTCTACTCCACAATGGGTATTTCAAGCATTGGCTCAATTCACTCACTTAATTCATGGTTTAAATACAATTTTAGCTGGAGGTCCTATAGTCAAGTCTTTTCTTGAACAATCTGGGCAGAAGAGCACATGGAAGGCAAAGCCACACTTGGAGTCATTCCCGTGTCACAGCTCTTTTACTTCGGATAGAGTTGGGAGGGCGAACTAGGCAGCAAGGATGCCAGAGTCTCAGTAGTTCAGTTTCTACCCATGAGCTGGCTCGGGTGGAATGGTAGGTGAGACACTAGCTCCATGGGCAGTGCTCCAGCTGATTCTCTCAGACAGGTCCCTGTGGATACACTAACAGCCTTGGGAGGTATAGCATGGCCTGCAACCCTCCTACTCCCTGGGCTTGAGTCACTTGGACTGAGTCAGCCACAGGGAGTAAACCTGAGGCCAAGAAGATGACATCATACCCTATCAGGCTGGAAGGCCCACAGGGCTTCCAGTGTGACATGGAACAGATTTCTCTGTACAAAGGTTGCGGTCCTGAAAACAAAGCTGATCTACTCGGATAGGGGTGGTACCACAATCACTCTGTTCATTGCATCTCTCACTCTATGCCAAAACACTTATCATTTGGTTATAAATGGGAAAGAAAACTGCCTGAGTGGTGCTTCCTGAGGAGGCTAATAACTGCTTTGGAGAAAAGGGGTTTGTGAAAGTGAGAAAAGTGAGAGATGGGAAAAATCAGTACTACACAGCTCTTTGATGTGGAGGTGTGTAAAGATTCCTCAAGGAAAGCAAGTGGAAACTTACATGAGATTTTGGTAAAGAAACGCTCTTCAGGGAAACCCCAGGCAGGAAGCAAACTGCAGCAATCCTTGGACCTCTGCTCTAAGGTCCCACCTCACTCTCTGAAGTTCCTCTACTGTAGTTAGATTATTGTTTTTTTTTTTTTTTTGGTTTTTCTCCGGTACCGGGAACCGAACTCACGACCTTGCGCTTGCCAGGCAGGCGCTTTGCCGCTGAGCTAAATCCCCAGCCCCTACTGTAGTTAGATTAAACAACAGAACTCATAGGAAAGGAGCAGAGTGTCAGTACCCACCTAGAAATTCTCCTTCTAGAATGTATCTGCTCAGGCCTTAGAAAATTCTGTTTTTTACTTGAGTAAGGTGTGTATTTCCTGCTTATGGGCAGGAAACACCTTTTCAAGAGAATCATGAACTAACTGGTTCCCTAGATACTGGGGATTTCATATCACCCTATCAGTTCCTAGAGAAAAGAACAGCATTTGTCCGCCATCCTTTGTGACTTTAGAGCAGGACTTTGCATACTGTACAAGGTCAGTAACTAGTTGTTGAGTGAATGAATGTTGCATGGCAGGAGAGGAAGAAGAACCAATTCCCTTGGTACCGGGGACAAAGGTCTTGCCAGACATATACATCTTCAAAATGCCAAGAAGGTTTTGAGAGAACCCTATGCTGAAGATGTCAATGCTTAGAAACTGAGTGATACTGATATTTATGTTCTCTCTTTCTTGTTCACATATCCTGAGGAGCCATAGTGGATTCAGGTGTCTCATTCTGCCTGCATCAGATAACCCAGGAGGGCCTGGGGATGTGGTATACCTTTTCTTTCCTGGATCTAGTGACTCAAGGTAAGTAGCCAGGTTGGGAAGAACGGCAGCTGGTGAACTCACCCTAGAGACTTAGTCATTCACTGAATACCACCTTTTAGAGGTATCTAGTGTCCTGGAGCAGAACACCCGAAGGAAGAGGGGCCCAGGACCAGTACAGGGCAAGAGAAGCCCTACGTCTTCTGCTTTTCTGGTCTACAAAATGCATACAGATGAGAGACAAGCCTGACAACAGGCACTAAGGAATTCACTTCTGGCTGCTCACAATCATACTATCGCCGATTTGACTTCAAGATGAAGCAGCTCTTCATGACCTCAGTTCCACCAGAATTTGGAAGGTTCTTCTTCTTCTGCAACAGCCTGCCTTCATAGACTCTGGGATCTGTTGCCAAACTCAAACAGAAATGAAAATGGTCTATCCTGATGCTGAGAACAGCTTGGGCTTTGTGCATGGAGGTGGAAGTGTAGATGGTCACAGCATGGGCTGTTCTTCCCCAGGGCTTCTGACAGCTGGGACCTGGGGAAGCAGATGCTGAGAAACAACTAAATCATTCAGCTGAATGATTTCGGGTGGCTGTTATGGGCTTTCATCTGACATTCCCCAGTACCAAGAGACCTTGGGCAAGTAATTGAACTGGTCTAAACCTCACTTTCCTCTCTAGTAAAATGTCTTATGGTTGTGGTGAGAATTAAACGGTATGATGCTTGCAACATAAATGCTCAGTAAACATTAGCACTTGTAGCTTTACCTTTTTTTTTGGTCTTTTTTGAGACAGGATCTCATTATGCAGTTCAGGCTGGTCTTGAACTCACTTTGTAGCCCAGGATGGCCTCAAACTCACAACTATCCTCCTGCCTCAGCCTTCTGAGTGCTGGGATTATAGGAATGTGCCACCATGCCTGGTACCATTATTAAATTATCATAGTAAAATAACACATTTCCAGAGAGAGCAGGATGTCTAGTTTTCTCTCTCCTGCTTTTTCCCTTCCCAAGTCACTCTGACTTGCCTGTACTTGAAAGAAGTCCCATTGTATCAAAATGTGGGTGGGTTATGCCCCACAGAGACAGAAGCCAGGACCATGGCTATGCACATTTTCCAACAGTGCAAATTCCTCATCATTTTCTCCCTTCTTTTTTAGGCTAGGCTGGCAGCCAGGACAAAAGCCTGCCCAATGGCAAATCACAGAGGACTGGAGCACCATTGTCTGACTGGGATAGCAGGTCACCGAACTTGGTTGTCCACTGTGTAACTTTCTCTGCTATCTGCTCAGATGTGGAGCAGAGGGTGGCTGTGTACTGCTGAGTACTCATCCCCTCTCTGCTCTGGATCCTATGCTGGCTACCCCCAACTGCTACTGAGGCTTCGTTTTTTCCCAGTTTTAGGTCCTCGAATAGGTACTAAATTTACTCTACCAAAACTGCTTCTCTCTTCCCTTTGTGTCTCTCCCAAATGATATGGGAAAGGCACCATCAGCAAGGCATTCTTCCCCACAAGGACAGGCAGGCAGGAGAACATTCTGCAGATGCCTCAGTGACAGGGAATGACCCTTACCCTGAATCGACCAAAAGCATGACCTTTAGGGGAGAGGAAGAGGGGTTATGAGGAGTGGCTAGAATGGAGCTCATGTTCTATTTAACAGCATTCCTCCCCCTTCAGCACACACCAAGTCCAGGGCCCTGTTCCCTTCCCTAGGGCTGCTGCTCTGAGAGACTCAGGTAGTGATTCCACGTCTCAAGCCAGAGTGGAGAGGGTCTCAGGCACAGTTCTCAGTAAGAAGGTACTATAGTTAATGGAATAGCAGTGCAGCTTAGTAAAACAACTCTCCACAGGAGTATCAGCCTTGCCATCAGCTATATGACTCAAGGCAAGACACTTTATCTCACTGGGTCTCTGAGTTCTTCCTCTGTAAAATGAGGCAGTTAGAAGACATGAATTTTAAGGTCTTTTTCCATTCTAACATTCCATGCTTTTATCAGTGAAATGAAACAGAGGGAAGGACAGAAAGGACACAGTAAACCCGTATGAGACAGCCTGACTCCATGCAGCCCTCTGCCACCTTGCTTTTCTGTCCCTCCCCAAATTTTACCTCATCCTCATTCTCCACTTTAGGGTTGCTGGCTGTCCTTTTCAGGTTGCTGCTGAGACTTATACTGGCGGTGGCATCTGACTTAGAGCGCTGGTGAGTCCTTTTGGAAGGAGACAGCCCTGTGTCCGGGGCTGGGCTCAGGGAAGGCAACTCCCTCTTTCGGTGAGCTGGCTTTAGCTCATCCGAGAGGATCAGCTTCCGTAACTTGGTCCCACGGGAGTGTCGCTGAGTGGAAATGTGCATGTCTGAAGAGTAGGCCCCGAGCAACAGGGCACACTGGAGGGAAAAGTTAATGCTCTGGCGGCAGCGGTGGACAATGTAGGGCTTAATGGCATCACCCACATCCTCATCCATGTGGATGTACATGTTAAGCAACTGGGGAAGATAGAAGTCCACATCCTCGTTGCGAAAGTAGAACAGCCGGTTGCCAATGTAGGCTTGTACTCCAGGTTCCTTGGAGTTATACAAGTATGAAATGGCCATAGAGATGTCAAATAGTTTTGATTCAAATAGCCTCAGTAGCCACGACTGTTTGGCTGAGTTGTTCTGCCGCCGCCTTCTTGTTCCTTTGGCTGTGCCTGAGGCCACAGTGACCCCCATCTCATCTTCCTCCTCCCTGATCTGGGCAGGTGGATCATCCAGGCAACGGATCTCACTGTCCACACTATCCCCATTGACCAATTCGAGCTGAGTGCCTCTGCTGGAGATGGCCACACCTCCATGCAAAAGCTTGACTTTCTCCAGCACTTCCTGGCAGGCCTTCTGGGCCACCTCAGGGTCAATCACTGATAGTTCTCCGGCCCCCTCGGTGATGACACTTAGCAAGGAGCCCCCATTATTCCCTGGTGGGCTAGGAGCAGATTCGGAAGTTGGCTTCAGGGGGGCAGGCTCCACTACTGTGTCTCCCATGGCTACAGCCAGACTTTGAGCTTCCAAACTATAGGAAGGAAGGAAGAAGAAAGGAACAGAAAGGGAGACACATACACACAGTGGTTAGTGGTGCCATCCTCAGGTCTTCCCTTTGCCACAAAACATTCCTATGCACCTTCTCTTTCTGTTTTCCTCCAAGTCTTCCAAGTCAGATGAAAAGTCATCTCCCAGGAAGCTTTCCCTCACTACCTCCACTTCTGATCATGACATTACTCTGCATTCCTGCTGCACTTAAGTGACTCAGCTTAGCTTGTTTGTGAAATGTAGCTTTTTAAGTATTGCATTTATACAGGCTTACAAATGTCTCAGGTAAAATGGGGAGCAATTTGGATCTTATTCCCTTGTCCTGAATTCTATCCTTCTTTTCTTTCTGTCTCCCTTCAACTGCCTGGCATAATGTTTTCTTTTCCCCTTTAAATTGTATTTCTTTACTCATGTAACACTTTACACACAGGTCCTATTCACCTCACCTTTATTAAAATCTTGATGTATTTTTCTATTTATAAATACTTTCTTACCTTCCCTTTTAGACTCAAAGCTGCTGGGGGACAAGAGCCAGCAAATATTATGCCAGGCTTTGCTTAGAAGAAAACAGCTCTAAAACAACAATCATCAACTCTACTGAAACTGCCATTTCTCCGGTTGGCTGGCTTCATGACTTCACACCCTTTTCTCCAGTGTGGTGGCAGCTGGAGTACAGTGGAAAGAACCCTGGACTTGGAGGCAAATAGGCTGGGGCTCAAAATCCTTACTCTGTCTTTATGAGGTGTGCCAACTTATGCAAGCCAGGTATCTTCCAAGTTGCAAACTGGGAAAAAAGTACTTCTCGTTGTTGTGTAGAAGAAATCAATACATGTATGTGAAAGGATCTAGCACAGTCCCTGGTACACAGTAGTACTCAATAAATGCTAGCTGAATCCTAACCACCTGAAAGGTTAGTAAATGTGTGTGTATGCATGTAGGTGCTTGCAAATACCTATAGTATTTTGCAAGAGTAGAACATCGGAGTTACATTAGTTGCTTGAGACTCTTCTAAAACATTCAATAATAGCCTTCTCCTACTTGAAATCTGTTTCGCAGTATCATAGTGTACACACATTCAAAAGCTGGAGGGACTATAAGAAGGCAAAAGGAAATCAGCCTGAGACTCATGAGTCCATAGTTTTTAAAGAACAGGGGAGAAGAGACATACTAAGAACTCTCTGGAGGGAAAGTCAGCTAAAGAATACTGCTGACAAAAGCCACCATTTTTGTCAGGCAAAATGTAGCACACATCTGTAATCCTAGTTACTCAGAAGGTTGAGTCAGGAGAATCATAAGTTCAAGGTTAGGCTGGGCCACTTAGTGAAATCCTATCTTAAAATAAAATAAAAATAGGGCTGGAGATGTAGCTCAGTGCACAGTACTTGTCTAGCATGTGTGTTTGATTCCCAGTACCCCCTATATCCTATCCCCCACAAATAAACAAAAAGCCATCCTCTAAGAGCAATTCTTCAGAGCCTTACCAAATCCAGATCAAGAGAATCAATGCAAAATAGGAAGAAATTTTGTCAGAATAACCTGGCTCCAGAATCTGGCATTAGCCAAATGGGTTTAAGAGGACTCTTCCCCAAAATGCAAATAGATTGAACCTAAGACACTTTTTTTGTTTTTGTTTTTGTTTTGAGACAGGGTCTTATTCCTATCACCCTTCCAGTGCCTCTTATTGTACCTCTGAAATGTTAAGCATTAAGATTACTTTCATCTGCCCAATATCATATAGTGCAGCTCTCTGCTTCTGAGCAGTTACCACTAAAGTTCTGCAAAAAGACAGATGGGAACTCTTGTTTTCAGAGATCAACAGAAAAAAGGGCTACTTTATTTTTTTTAATTTTTTTTTTTTTAATTTTTTTGTCTTTTTGAGACAGGGTCTCACTATGCAGTTAGGCTGGCCTTGACCTCACTTTGTAGCCCAGGCTGGTCTAGAACTCACAATGACCCTCCTGCCTCAGCCTCCCGAGTGCTAGGATTATAGGCGTGCACCACCATGCCCAGCTAAAAGGGCTACTTTAGTTCATCTTTCTCAAAATCTGTCAAGCAAGAAGTTCATTCCTGAATTTAATTTTCTTGATACAGTTTGAGCTTGGTATGGGTAAAAAGATGACAACTCTTTCACTATGTTCTCTCCTAAAACTAGGCAGGGCCTCTGGAGCAGTAGAACCAGCATGGTTGCCTACGTGGATCTGTCTCTACTCGCAGCTATGGGTTGCACAGGAATAATAAGAAGGAAGTGTTAATTATTCCTTGCCACACCTTTGTAGGGCTCTCTTACCAGAAGGTCATGTTAATTCAACTAGAACCTCTGCCTTTTAGGTCTGCTTAGTGAGATTCACAAGGTAGCCTCAGTAACCCTATATAATCAACTCTTTCTCAACATCTCTATGCTTGGCACATCTTTCCCTTTTTATCTATTCAAGAGACTTCAAAGTTACCAAAGCCCCTTAAAAGTCCACTTTGAAAAATATTAAAGGGGCTTAGGAGTTGAGCTTAGCGGCAGAACACTTGTCTAACATGTATAAGACCTTGAGTTCCAAAACAAAATAAAACAACCCAAACCAACCAGCCCAACACCCTAAACTTTCAAGGGAAGTGAAGTTCAGACATTCTCCCACACACAGTGCCTCAGACCTCACTAAGATATTCAGCAGATTCCTAATCAACACTGGGATTATTACTGGCACCAGGAAGGAGGTAAGACTATGAGAATATCATTATTTCTTTTTATTTTTTATTTTTTAATTATTTCTTTTATCCCCTAAGCAAAAGAAGAACAACTCCAGGATTTGGATAGGAATCCCACACTACAATATTCAAAGGACTTCCCTGGTGAACAGACTCCCCTATCAGCATCTTTTTCTCCCCAGGGAACCAGACAAAATTAAGTGGTACAGGAAGATAGGTGTGGTGGCATACAACTGTAATCCCAGCACTATGGGAGGCAGGATTGCAAGTCTGGGCAATTTAGTGATTTAGCAAGACCTTGTATCAAAACAGAATTATAAAAGAGTGAGAGATGTAGCTACCCTGAATGTTCTGGGTTTAATTCCCAGTATGGAAAAACAGAAAAACAAACAAACAAACAAACAAAAAAACAACAAAACAAAGATAGGATCCAGGCATGGTGGTACATATCTGTAATCCCAGCACTTGGGAGGCTGAGGCAGGAAAAATCACAAATTCAAATCCCACCTATGCAATTTAGCAAGACTATCTCAAAAACCAGAAAGGCCTGGGGAATGTAGCTCAGTATGTAAGCCCAGGTTTCAATGTCAAATGGTAGTGGTGGGGTACACGCAGGTTGTGGCAGTGCATGCCTGTAATCCCAGGACTTTCAGAAGGTGAGGCAGAATGATCCCAAATTTAAACACAGCCTGGTCTATTTAGTGACTTGGAAAGATCATGCTTTAAAAAGGCGGGGGACTTGGGTTGTAGTTTAGTACAGGAGGTCCTGAGTTCAATCCCTAAAGAAAAAAAAAAAAGAGGTGCAGGAATACCAGACTTCTCTTCTGTGTAAAGCAACTGAAACAAAGAAAACAAAACCACTAAACTAGAGCTAGGCCTCTCTACTGGCCTGTTTTTGAAGAAGTCATGGGAAGAAGGAATGTTGGAAGAATTAGGTTATTATGATAATTTCGACTACAGAAATAGAAAAGAGATTCTCCAAATTCTAAACCCACATATGGCCTTCAGAATCAATTAATTCATTTCCAAATGCAAAGAATACATACCTTTAATGGCTAACTATTCTAAGGAAAGTGAAATAACTAGAAGGAAAATAAAAGAACAAATCCTGTATTCATGGCCTTTCCCCTGATAAGTCAGAATAAGAAAAATGTGAGAAGAAAGTCCAAATTTTTAATTTAAAGTGACTCCTCACTCGGGAGGCTGAGGCAAGAGGATTGCTGAGTTTGAGGCCAGCATGGGCTACAAAGCGAGTTCAGGGACATCGTGAACTACACAGTGGGACCCTGTCTCAAAAATTTTTTAAAAAAGTGATTCCTACAGCTCTTAAAAGCAAACAGGTAAAGTTCTACATGTCACACTGGGAGCCTAAACTCACCTTCCAGACAGACTGGAGGGAAAAGGAAGCGGTCTGTGCCCATCCTTGAAGCTGGCTCTTAGGAAAGTAGGGTGGGTATAGGGCCAGTGCAGACAGCTCACTGGGCTCTACAGCTCCCATCTGGGGAAAGCAGGGACTTAAGACTAAGCATCAGGGGTTATTACAGGTCAGGTCAGGGCGGAACAGTGGGTGTGGAGGGTAGAAAGGGTGTACATGCGTGTGTTTTGTGGGACTGAGCAGTTAAGTATACGTCTGCAGAGCATTCTGGAGGGAGAGGATGCTCCCACTTAACTCTGCTTCCTGCTCCTCATCACCTCAAAAGATTCTAGATCAACAACCTCCCACTGGCTTCCACTAAAGGACAGGACAGGATGGTGAAGAGCCTCAAATCAATTCCCTAACCCAGTTAGTCATCATTCCCCTCTTTAAATCTCTTTCCATGAACTGGATAAATACGGATAGCCTCAGACCAATTCTGATGTTTTTATATATTCCTGCATTTTCACAGACTGGCCTTTAAGAGATCATCTGAGTTGGGCCTGTTGGTGGAAACCCATAATCCCAGCTACTGGGCAGGCTGTGGTAGAAGAATCACAAGTTCAAGGCCAGCCCAGGCAACTTAATTTAAAAACAAAACAAAACAAAATAAAGGGTTAGGGATACAGCTCAGGGCTCCACGGGTTCAATTCTTAGACACGCACACACATCATCTGTCTTAGTGCTCTGCTTCTAAATCAAGCAGACGACAGCTTTCTTCTTTCTCTTAAAGGATCCTCCCCCCTACTTCCCACCATGTATTGGGTTGCTCACCACAGTAACAGCCCCAACCCTTTCAAAAATTTTATTTCTTCCCCCAAAAAAGATTAACAAAAAGTTTTATTTCTTCTTATTGTATTTTATTCTGTTAGTTGGCTTTTCGTTAGACCGTCTCCCTATGTAGGCCAGGCTAGCCCCAAAACTTCAATGCTCCTGCCTCAGTCTCCCAAGTTGCTGGGATTTCCGGTATGTGTCACCAGGCCCAGTTTAAAGGAGCCTTTGAGATGAATCATGAGAAGTGCAAAAAGGGTAGGGAGCCAGTATCTTCATCCTACAAAGTGGGTATTAAAGTTACACAAGTGTCAAGCAGAAGAAATAAAAGTGATATAACTACATAAATAGAGATATAAACCTTCTTTTACAACAACAAATGAGTCGAGAAATAGAGGCACAAGCATTTTATCTAAAGGTATGGTGGTGATAAGCTTCAGAATTAAAACACCAAGATAACTAAAAGGTTAACTCTGAGGGAGAAGGAGTAGGGATGAAAGGAAAGAGACTACAGTATAGTTTTCATCAGGAACTCTTTTAGTACCAGTGGATTTGTTATCAAGTATATGCATTCCTTTAACAATAACTCAAAAACAAAAACCAAAACAATACAACCCAGGCCACTCTTCAAAAGTGACTCTGTACTGCTCTCAGCTGCCTGTTCTGCCATTGAGAAGTTTCTCCTTATGCCTTAAGGTCTAACTCAATCATTCTTTAAGAAGGTCTCAACTCATCTTTCCTCTCTGACCTCAACAGTAAAGGTAGAGAATAAACACTCCATTTTCCTTGTAGAAATTCAGGGCTGAGTAGTTAAGCAGTCTCAAGCCCCACCAGGAACTAGGTAAATGCTTACTTAAGGCCCCAGACAGTGGTGGCATCAGGGGAAAGGGCATTCCCAAGCTACAATGGGGGGTGTGGCATAGGGGGAGGTAGTGGTCTCAAATTAGTTAAGTCAATATTGAATCTGGCTGAGAATTCTTTATGCAGGCCATAGAGCTGGTATAAGCAGATTCCATCTAGCTAGACAGCCCAAGCCAGCTCTCAGAGCCCCTGATGAAATAGAGAGATGGCGAAGAAAGCAACCTGTACGCTCACCTTTCTTTGAACCGTTCCTGTCTTGTTGCAGGTAAGTCCTAAATGCACTTGGAGTAGGTCCTCTCTTGAAAGGATCTTCTTAAACCTCTTCTCCAAAATATAAAAATCTCCATTTGTTCCTTTGGATGGTGTTTAGCAAATATGTTTTCATGCAGTGTGGATCCAGCTGAGGGAAGCAGGGAAATTAGGGGAAATATGATTTCTGGTCAATAGTGCTTCCAAGGAGTAAAGCTTCTCCTATAAAGGGGATTATGAACAGGCCGTACTCTGGTTATGTCTGAGGGAGAAAAGGAGAGGGGGGATGAGACAGCATAAATGCTTCCAAGAAGTCTAGAGTCAGAAGATGAATGGAACTTCACATGCCCACTTCACTATCATAGGGCAACAAGAGATAGGGCATTCAACGGGGCAGTTTCCTAAGTCCCAGCTTACTCTAAGTTTTCTTTTCCAGTAAGCTTCTTCAAAGGGCTTTTCCACACTTTCTGCTCACAGTCTGGAGTTATGATTCAAGTACAAAGCAACAGCATAGGGGGTCAGCAATGTAAGGCACTAGGGCAGTGATGATGAACCTTTCAGAGCTTTCAGCGATAACAAACAGCCGGTACAGCATGCATGTCATATTTGCCACCACTGTACTGGGGGAAAGCAGAGATGAAAGAAGCAGGCTAGGAGTTTGTGTTTCAAACTTACACTCATGGTTATAGACTAGGAAGACTGAGATGAGGGCAAATTCTCAGGATGTGCCAGATGTGTGATGCATGGTTATAATCCCAGTATTTGGGAAGCTGAGGGAGGAGGATTGTCGTGAATTTGAGGCCAGCCTGGGCTACACAAGCAAGTTCAAGGCCAGCTTGTACTACATAGCGAGACCCTGTCTCAAAAAAAAGAAAAAATGCTCAGGATGACAAAACTACTATTTATAAATGCCTTTTGTCTGAGAACCTGGAATGTTTTATAAACAAAACACATTTTTTTTAATTGATTTTTCCCTCAATCCATATCCTGCTATTAGCCTATTACTGCATTGATGCCTGAAGAGTGGGTGATTTTTCCAAAAAGATCACTCTAGAGGTTACACGAGGAAGTCATATGCTGAACCCAGGAGTGTGATTCTGAATCTACAAGGTCTTTCCATTGTCTCATGTTCCTTTTCCCAATTACCCCTGACCCCACTGCAGACTGAGGTCTTATGAAATCAACCAAAACTATTCTAGAAGCCATAGTCAGTAAACTGATTCCTCTTGGATCTGGATAAAGGTGGGAAGACACTCTATTCTGTGATCCAGTATACACCAGTCCCAAAATAAATAATCCAAAACAAGATGTCTCACAACCTCATTCAGTTTCCACGCAGGCCTGTTCATCCCTCCTAGTGGCTGCTTCTGAGTAGGCAACAAAACGTAATCTGATAGGGATTTCTTCAAAACTTGCTCCATCCTTCAGGAACACTCTTCTGTCCAGAAAAGCCTGAGACAGCTGAGGCTCCCCCTACTCCCAACACATTTTTCTTAGTTCAAGGTTTAGCTGATCCTGAAATAAGTGATATGTGCAGACAGTGTGACACAGAATACAAAAGGACCACAGGGAAAACAACCAAGTGACACAAGGATCAGCAAAATCTTTGAAACAACAGGCAGGTGTCAAAAGTAGGAAATCTGAAGTGGGAAGGAGTATTCTCAGATCTCTCTCCTACAGGAACAAACCTCCAGAGCGCGAGGGGATTTCAAAGAGGAAAAGCAAAGCTGAAGGACAGCTATAGGAATCATAAAGCACCCCAGAGAAGAAAGATAAGGTCTAAAGTCAAAATGGAATGTAAATGGTACTTTGGGGTTGACAACAAGGGCCTGGGATCCCTTAAGGAAAGGGGAATAGGTAATCCTTGCAAGCCAGGAGCAAGGTAGGTGGATGATGATGAGGTAATGGAATCAGAAGCAACAGAGGAAGGGAGGGATACACTCTTTAGCTCAGGAAAATGAGAACTCTGTGGTGAGGTTGCACAGATCTCGGAGGAGTAGGGCAAAATAGGAAAAGGGATGAAGGTGGAGTCCATAGGAAAGGTCTGGGGCAGAAGTACAGTCGACGAGGAAGGACAAACAAGGATAGGCACTGCAGAAGGGGTCTAACGGAGAAAGGGTTCATGCCTTTAAAAAATAATAATTCGGGACAGAGGCAATAGGGGCGGGGGGGGAATCCCCGGGGGTGGAGGGAGGAGCTAAACAGAAGAGGAAGCCAAAGAGCAGGGAAGACCCCAGGCTTGAGGGGAGCGGGTGGAGAAGGACCCCGGGGTGCAGGTGCCCACCAGGAGGACAGTTCTGTGGTCGAGCCCAGGCGGGGAAGACTATGAGGGACAGGGTGGGAGAGGGAACCCCCCAACTGCGCAAAGGTGACTCACGGCGAAAGAGTCGCTTACCTCCGGGGGGCTCCCGCGGAGGGGTGCAGGCGGTAGGGGTCGGACTGCCGACACCGCCGCCTCAGCAGCAGCGGCCGCTCCCGGGTTCCATTGGCCGCCTGCGCTTCCCTGACAGCGGCCGCGGCGGCTGCACCAGGCCCCGGCTGCGGGGTGCCCGCGGCGCTGCCTGATGGGCCTTCACGCTGCCTGAAGTTGGACCGGGCCGCGTAACCAGCACCAAAAAAAAAGTCCCCAGTAGGTTTCAATGTGTAATTCTTCTGAATCCACGCTTGTCTTCCCGGGATTTGCTTTTCTGCTTCCCCGACGCTCAGGACCCTACCGACCTCAGAGTTATCTAAGGAGTCGGGTGAGCTGCCTGCAACATGCCTGTTCAGAAATAGAAAAGGGGGCGGGGATGAGATATTTGGACGCTGGGGAGGGAGGAGAGGGCGAAAGGAGGAGCTTACTTGCGGGAGGCGGGGCCAATACTTGAGAGGCGGGCCCAAGAGGTAGTAGTGTTTGCTACAGTAAGGAAGCCGAGAGGGAAGTAAAATTTACTGGATAAGTAGCAGGGTGTTGCGAACTTCCAGGAGGATATTAACATGCAAATTATATGTAAATAAACGTATGGAGTTCGCCCTCGAGTTACCATTGTTGTCATCAGTGGCTTTTCTCCCTTATCCTACACTACTCCCCTAGTAAATCAGATCGTGGGACGGATATTTGGGAAGGGGGCAAAAAGGAAAGAAAGAGAAGGGGTCGGCCAGGAAGACAGTCACACTTACGACCCCTTTCCTACTCATCTTTAAAGACGTTATCAAGATTTTGCCTCTTATCGCGTCGAGAATAGCGCTGTCCAGCTGCATCCATCTTCCGCCGTTAGCGGCCAACTGGAAGCCACCGTTCTGTCTCCGAGGTCACCCCCTGCTTGGGCAGCCTTTGGCCTCCAGCATCCAGATGCCGAGCCCTCCAAGAGGGGCTGGACAGAGCCAGGTTGGGAGGTGAGTGAAATGACCAACGCTTAAAGAACGTAATCTCTTCTAAACAAAACCATGTAGGACTGAATAAATAGCCAAAAACAGGTTCTGCAGTCGTCCTCAGGTGTTGGTTTTGTATACCTGTTTGTCGGTTAGCATAGTTAAGAGCCGTCTTCTTCCTCAGAATCTCTGTTCCCAATGCTTTTCGGGGTTTTCCTTAATATCTAACGCCCCTCACGGAGTCTTAATATTCTACGCTGAGGCTAGTTATTTGAGCTCAGATGATGGATGCCATCTTCCTTTCCACTTACAAACTGTTTGAGTTGGGATAACTGATGTAGCTTCTTTTGTGTAAAACATGTAGTATGTACAAAAGCAGAACAAATGAGGTATTTTTTTGTGCTACGGGGAATTGAATGCGAGGGCCTTATTCCTACCCACCCACCCCCCTTTTGAGACAAGGTATTGCTTTGTAGACCAGGCTGACCTCAAACTCATGGTGATCCTCCTATCTCAGCGGAGCTGGGATTACAGGCACAACGGGGTACATTTGCTGAAGGAACATTGGCAGAGTTTGGTTAAATTGAAGAAGGCCTAGCCCCTCAGTATAAGGTGAACAGATAAATGGAAGTCTCCTTAGAAATATTGTGAGCCAGGACTTAGAAGAGATGCTGGATATTATTCAGTAGAATAAAGAAGAAGATAGAGTATAGAGCATCCTGAAGGCCAAATATTTATTTGTTGAAGAACAGAAATGGGAATTTGTTTAAATCATGAGGACAGGAGACCCAGATAAACTAGGCTAAAGCAGGAGTACAGTGATGAAAGATGAACAGAGAAAGAGAAAAAAGATGCCAAACATAGTTTAAATTTGTGACCACAAGTCTGAGGTAGGGAGTCAGCAACCCACCTGTCAGGACCAGCAGCACGTGGTCAGCTTCTAACCGGCTGTCATGCAAGTATCAAGAAGTGATGGACCTCACTATGGAAATCAGTATGGCAATTCCTCAAAAAACTAAAAATAGAAATTCCATTTGACCCAGTTATACCTCTTCAGCATATCTTCTTGAAAGAGTTAAAGTCATCATGTTACAGTGATACATGCATACTCATATTTATAGCAGCACAACTCATAACCTTGGAAGTGGCCTAATATGCCTGTCAACAGATAAATGGATAAAGAAAATGTGATATATCACAAATATCCCCTCTCAAATATCTGTCCCACGATCTGATTTACTAGGGGAGTAGTGCAGGATAAGGGAGGGGAAAAAGCCACTGATTGTAACTACATTAACTCCATAGGTTTATTTACATATAATTTGCATGTTAATATCCTCCTGGAAGTTTGCAATACCCTGCTACTTATCCAGTAAATTTTACTTCCCTCTCAGCTTCCTTACTCTAGCAATATCTCTATCTCTATCTACATTTATATATATCTATATATCACATTTATGTGTCATAAAAAAGGATAAATTTGAGTCATTTGTAGGAAAATGGATGTAAGTTGAGTCCATAATGATAAGTGAAATAAATGTGACACAGGTTAAATATCACATGGTTTCCCTTGTATGAGAAACCCAAAGTGTAAATGAAGAGCAAATAAAAGAAAGATGGCAAAGTGGGGTGGCTAATGCCCTTGGGAGGCTGAGGCAGGAGGATTGCTTCGAGTTTGAGGCCAGCCTGGGCTACAAAGTGAGCGCAAGCCCAGCCTGAACTGCAAAGTGAGACCCTGTCTCAAAAAAAAAAAAGCCAAAAAAGAAAAAAAAAAAAAAAGGGAAAAGGTGATACAAAACAGGGAGATAGACTTTGTGGAGATGGGAAGGGGATCTTGGGGATCTTGGGATGGGGGGAGATTGGAGGGAAGGGGAATTTAAAAAAAAGAGGTGATGACCCTGGTTTAGCTTAAACTTTAAAATATCACATATTCCCTGAAGAGATAGGATCCATAGGTCCACAAGAATAGCTTTTTATAGAAAGAGATGTGATGGTTCTTTTTTGTTGTTGCTGTTGCTCTTTTTATAAGAAAGGAGCTTTTAAAAATTTCGAATGGAGAAAAACAAGGTTTCAGAAGTATCTGATCACACTTGAAGTAGGAACTTTTTATAGCTAGTCTATAGTCAGTTTTAAGTCCTCTCTCCTTTTTCTTTCCTTTCTCCCTCCCTCCTTCCCTTCCTTCCTTCTTTTTTGGCACTGGGTGGCCTTTGCACTGAGCTATATCCCCATCCCTTTTAAAATTTTGAGATAGGTCTTGGTAAGTTGCTAAATTGCCCAAACTTGTGATCCTGCAGCCTCAGCCTTCCAGTGTTAGGATTACAGATGTGCCCCACCACACCCAGCTTCTGAACCTGTTTTTTAAAACTCTCTTTTGACAGAAAAAATATCACTCACTTCTAAGATCCCAAGGAGGCAATGCAGGCATTGATGGTGGCACATGGAGACAGATGACCCTGTGGGAACCCAAACTAGTCTGTGTGCATGTGAAATCCCATCCTTGGCTGGGTATGGTGGCATACAGCTGTGATACAGCACTAGGGAGGCTGAGGCATGAGGATTGCCAGAAGCTCAAGGCCAGCCTGGGCTACATAGTGAGTTCAACTCCAGCCAGAACAATATAGTGAGGCCCTGTCTCAACAAGCAAACAAACAAAACAAAACAGCAACAAGAAATTCTTGCCTTGGAGGGGAAGGATGTATGTGTGTGTCAAAATGGAAAGTACTAACAGGTAAGAAAGTGGCATTTATTTGTTTTACTTAAATTTTATCAAATAAGGGAAAGAAGTGAGTCTATTATTAAAAAGCTATTAAAACCAGAGGATCTGTCATAATATAGCTCCAGGTGTGCTTGAAACACCTTTGTGGTTAAATACATTTTTATAAAGTGAGTTTTTTTTTCTTGAATCATAGATATGGGCTTTTTTCCAGAAAAATTAAAAAAGAAGCTAGCAGTTATGGATGAATTTCCTATGTCTAAATATAAATATTTCCTCATTTATTCCCACTATAGCCCCATGAAAGAGATTTTAACCCATTTTATGGAAACTCAGTTTTAGAAAGTTTAAGTCACAGTTTTTCAAAATTGTTTTACTTCAACCTACACTAAGAAGTGTACTCTATAATATGATGACTGAAGAACAAGTGCACGTGCCTTAAAGTTTCATGACATACTTATGTATGTTGATATTTTTTATTCTATTTCATTTATTTCATTTTTTAAAAATGCTGTTTTGCATTTTGCTAAACTGATCTGACAACCCAGTAATGGGTTGCAATCTACAATTTTATTTGTTTGTTTGTTTGTTTTTCTGGTACCGGGAAGCAAATTCACGACCTTGCGCTTGCCAGGCAGGCACTGTGCCGCTGAGCTAAATCCCTAGCCCCGCAATCTACAATTTTAAAATTTGAAAAGACTTAGCTAAATACTCATAAATGTTCAAAATCATATTGTCAGTGGTAAAGCTAAGATTTAAACCTAATTTATGCTCTTTCCAGTAAACAAATGTCTGAAGTTTTTGTTTGTTTTGTGGTGCTGGGGAATTGAACACTCTATGAACATTTTTAAAGAAATACTGTGAGGTTATCTGTCCATCTCGATACATAAAATGCATATTAGCTTCATCTCATAGGATAGAATTGGTAGGATGTTTCCAGATCAAGTAGATCTGCTCACGAACCATAACATAAGAAAAAACACCTAGACAAACATAAGACATTAATATTGTGAATGCTGCATTTATTTTACATTCTAAAGAAAACTGATTGTTAGTCACAAAAATAAACAATAGATGCATTTACTGGAGGCCATAGACTAGACATATAGAATTTATCTTTAATAGCAAAAGATTATTTCAGTAAATTTATGTTAAGGCTAAAATGAGAAAAGACACAGGGAAGGGATTGGGAATAGGGAACAGGAAACTATTGTCAACGGGGGAGAGTTAGGAACAGTAGAAGAAGCTGTAGTTACTCCCAAATCTTAGTCTGGCCTTTCATCTAATAAAGCAAAAAATGCTTGTATTATAGAGGAATTACCAGTTTCATATTACAGTTTAAAAAGAGGATGGATTGCTGGGCATGGTGGTTTACCTGTAATCCCAGCACTCGAGAGACTGAGGCAGGACTGCTGCAAGTTTGAGGCCAGCTGAGGCTACATAGTGAGTTCAAGGCCAGCCTAGACTTGTGACACCCTGTCTCAAAAAACAAACAAACAAACAAACAAAGAAAAATAAAAACAGGCTAGCTAAGGCTACTTTAAAACCCACAACACTCAGCCAGGCGTGGCACATGCCTGTAATCCCAGCACTTGGGAGACTGAGGCAGTAGGATCGCTCTAAGTGCGAGGACAACCTGGGCTACATAGTGAGGTCAAGGCCAGTGTAAACTACATAGCGAGAAGACCCTGTCTAAAAAAGAAAACAGAAAAAACCCCATAGCACTAAAGAAAATCGCAAAATCATTTATTGTTCTGGTATCCCCAAGTAAATGGAGAAATCTTCATCTACAGTCAAGGTGAAGACAGTATTTCCTTGGATTTCACTGGTTCTATCCTATTACCAGTGGTTTACCTATTACTTCTAATCTGTCTGCCTTCTGGCCCAGTCCCTCGTTTCCTCCTTCACAGATAATGCCAATAGCTGCCGGGCTAGTTCCTTAGCTTGCTATGTAGCCCAGACTAGCTTGAACTCTAGATCCTCCTGTTTCAGCCTCCTGAATGCTAGGATTACAGGCAGGCACCACTACACATGGCTCATGCATCCATGTTGTCAATCAACAGATTGTTGGTGTTGTTCTAGTTTATTTCTAACTATTTGTACCTACTTCTTCTGGCTGACCTGCCTTTACCAGGCTATCCTGTCATGCCACATCCCCACAACCTTGCTTTTCCTGCAGTGCTCTCTTCTATTTTTTACCTCACTTTAAAAGTTTGTCTTTAAAGTCTTGCCTTTTCTACAAAGCCTTCTCAAATTAGCCCAAACTGACATTCCTGAATTTACAGTTCTTATAAGCAGTAGAGTCTCATGACATAGCTCTTTTTACCACATGCTGTGTTGTTTTGTCCTTGCTGTAGGGGTTGGACTTGTCCAGCTGGCTGTGACTTATTTCTACTGGGAAGTTATCTCTGATCCCTGCCCCTACCACTGTGCTATTCCCCTGGACTCCACACTCGCAGTGCTCCCTGCTCACATAGCTCACACTGTGCTGTCTGTCTGCCTCACTGGCATGTGTGAACGCTCTAAGGAAATCTGCTTCTAACAAGTGGCTAGCACTTAGAAAAAAGGAAAATATCAAAACCACATTAACAAACTATTTCTGACATTTTTAGGAGGGAAAGAAATTACAACATTAAGCAGAAACCTATATAAAGGATGAACAACATGTGAAAGCAGGTTTACCCCGGGTACAAATGCCAAGAATAGGACTGTGAAGAAGGTAAACCCAAGGAAGGGGTGAAAAACCTGTGACTCCTCAATTAAACTTGGAATCTATTTTACTTTTTCTGAACTCAGGGCTGGGCAGTACATACGCAGCAAACATGCTACCACTGAACTACACCCCCAACCCAGCTAAGCATGGACTTTGTGTGTGCGTGTGTGCGTATGTTATTGGGGACTGAACCTGGGGCCTTTGCAGTAAGACACATCTGCAGCCCTGTTCTTATTTTTTATTTTGAGACAGTCTCACTAAGTCCCAGTTTGGCTTTGACTTTTGGTCCTCCCAAGTCCTGGGGTTTAGGTGCTCACCACCACACCCAGTTTAAACTTGGACCTTTGAAGAGGCTAGCACAGTCCCACGTAAGCACCCCTTGGTTCTTGGTGTAAACAAATGCAAATCTTCCCCGGAGGGAAGTAGCCCAGTTTAGCCCCTCAAGATTGCCGTAGATTAAGTTTAACAAAATATGAGTTCAAAACCTGAAAATAAAAAATTTACAAGGAAACAAGCTACCACTGGCAGGAGTCAGCACAAAACAGCAAAACAGATTTAGACTGTTAAAAATAAGTTACATAATATAAAATAATCCCAACATATTTCAAAAGAATTGGTATCAGAGACACCATATTCTCTAAACACAAATTATTAAAATGATAAAATTTTAAAGTTTCTAGACATTTGGAAAGTTGTAAAACTTTTCTAAATAGGGCTGGGTGTAGTGGCACATGCCTGTAGTCCTAGACTGGAGGCTGAGGCAGGGGGGGGTCACTATGAGCTCAAGGCCAGTCTGGGCTACATAGAAAGACCCTGTCTCAACCACCCCTTCCCTTCCTACAAAAAACCTTTTCTAAATAACTCAAGAGCAGCCGGGCATAGAGGCACATGCCTGAAATCTCAGCAGTCAGGAGGCTGCTGAGGCAGGAGGGTCACCACAAATTTGAGGCCAGCCTGGGATACATAGTGAGTTCAAGGGCAGCCTGCACTACATAGACTCTGTCTCAAAAAACCAAACCCCCAAAACCAACAAAACAAAAAACTCATGGGGGGGATATGGAGAAGTATGTGGCTCAGTGCTAAGAGTGTGAGGCCCTGGGTTTGATGCCAAGCATCAAACAGAAAAAACATTCCATGAGTCAAAAGTCTCAAAAGGAGCCAGACATGGTAATCTCACCACTCTGGGAGGCTGAAGCAGAAGAATCACAAATTCAAATCCAGCCTGGGCAACTTAGTGAATTAGTGAGAGCCTGTTTAAAATTTTAAGAGGGTTTGGAGAATGTAGCTCAGTGCAAAGGCCCTGGGTTCAATCCCCCGTAGTGCAATAACAAAAAAGTCTCAAAGATAATTTAAATATTTTTGGAGCTAAATAATAATGAAAATATGAGAAGTGTGGCATGGTGGTACGTGTATGTAATGTCAGCACTCTGGGAGGCTGTCAGGTGGACAGCAAATTTGAGCCCTTCCTGGGAAACTTAGTAATTTAGCCAGACACTGTCTGAAAATAAAAAGGCTATAGCTCAGTACAAAAGTTTTGGGTTCAACTCCTAGTACTGAGGAGTGGGGGTGCGGAGGCGGGGGGGGGGGGAGAAGGAAAGAGGGAAGGAAGAACAAAGAAAACCCAAATAGTCTGAAGTTATAAAGAAACTGAACCAGTACTAAAAATGAGTCCCACAATGAAATATCAGGCTCAGGTGGTTTTACAAGTTAAGTTTTACCAGATATTCAAGGAACAGTACATTTCACTCTGATGTAAACTCTTCCAGAGGATAGGACAAGAGGACAGTTCCCAACTCAGAGAGTATACAGACTAAAAGAACCACCTTGGAAACTTCCTCAGAAATCTTACTAAAAACAAAGGCACTAACATGTACAGGAATGTTCATAGCAGCATTGTTTGTAACAGTGAGAAACTGGAAATAGCCCAAATATCCATTGATAGGTGACTGGCCAAATAACATGTGGTTTATGCACTTGACAGAATATTACACAGATGAAAATGAACAAATCACAGCTATTACAACAGCATGGATGAATCTTAGAAACAGTGGTAAGTGCAAAAAAACAAACTTCAAGGGACTAGTAATGTATAATGCTTTTGAAAAGCCAGAAAACAAGCAAAACCAATCATTTTAAAAGAATATATACATATATGATTAATATATATATATATATACACACATAACAAGTCATTAATAAACATAAAATTAAGGACAGTGGTTACCTTTAAGCAGCAGCAAGGGGACAGGAATAGAGAGGAACACAAACTCAATGGTATTTCTAATTTTAATGTATAAATTGAGTGGTGGTCATAGGTGCTCATTGTCTTTCATAATTTATTCATGCTATATATTCTTTATAGATAGCAAGTATCATATATTATAATTTTAAAAAATCTGTGGTAGTGGAAATAAATGGACAAATGCGTGATATCTCCCTGAAGGAAAGTATGTTTCTTGGGAAGAGCCAAGATTCCCTGACATAAGCTACCCTAAAGTAGGTCCTCAATAAATACGGGTTTTTTTTACTGCTTTTCCCAAGGACACACCTGGAGGGTCGGAATCCCCTTCCCATTGGTACGTTCTGGCTCCAGACCTACCTCTTTCCATACATTTGGCCTAAACCCCACAGTCCTGGCAAAGTCCTGACACATGTATGACAAGACACTGACACCTGGTAGATATAGAATGAATTTAATGAAATGACTAGGAAAGAAATCTTTCACTCCAGGTGGTGAAAGCGGTAGTAGACTGGGGGATAGGGAAGCAGGAATGAAAAAGTGAAAATTCAGAAATAGGAAAAGGAAGGAACTCGATGTCTGAGATGTAGGTGGAAAAAAGTGTTGTCATCTAAGCTAAACTGAGAGAGACCCTGAAAAGAAAATGACTTCCCTCTCCTTCCTTGAGACTAGAACAGAACAAGAGGGAACAGTTACAGCTGCAGTAAGGGGAAATGCAAGACTGAGGAAAAAGGGAGCAGACTGAGCTGATCTCAGCCAAGCAATCTAGAACCTCAATGCACTTCATAGCTGCAGCGAGGAGGCAGTGCCTCCCAGCAAACTCCCAGCCTAGTCTCCATCTGGGGAACCTGTGCGTGCAAGGACTCTGATCTGCAAAAGTCTGTGATGTAGAACAAGCACATTAACATCCCATCTTCCTGGCCTCACTGGTTGACTCAGGCTGGCCTAATCACTGCGAATCTTCAGACTTTTGCTAGGATTCGTGGTTACACATAATTGGACAAACATGTAATCCAGGAGTGCTGGCAGGTATGAGGTGGCCCAGACTTAAGGTGATTTTACATTAGGTGGAACAGTGAGATTAGAAATCATTTAGATATCTAGAGTCATTCTGAACAGTTGAATCAAGCTTCACCTGGAGCCAGCACTACTTGTGGCCTTTTCAGTTCATAAGACAATACATCCTTTTTATTGTAAGCCATTCTGAGTTAGGTTTTCGATGACTGAAAACCAGAAGACCCCTAACCTATAACACTCACCATACTTACCCCATGCCTATCTTCCCACAGGAGGGCACAGGGATGCAGGTTAGGTTACTATGGATTTATTGGTTACACCAGAGCCAAAGTATTGAGCTGGGAAGGTCAGAGGCTGCCACCAGGCACTATGTAAGACTGGGTGATTCAGCAGTCTGCACAGAGAATGGACTTCCGTAGGGAAGGAATAGCTGAATGAGAATCAAGTACAGAGAAAGGCCTCTACCAGGCAGTCACGTGGTTAACATATGGATATGGACACTACCCTATGGACCTGCCTGTCATGGGGGTGTTGCTTTAGGGTCTTTACACTCACGAGTTAAGGAACTTTGAAGCACATGCCCCTTTAAGCCTTTATTACCCTGTGCTGCAGTGTCTGCCCCTCCCTTTACCACCTGAAGAGCTTCCTTTTGGCTTCTACTGCCCCTGATGACACTCACTTTGGGGGTGATGACAGGAATTTTATCTTCTGCTTCTTTGGCTTGCCGGGAACTAGGCCCCCTTCCTCCTTTAGAAACAGCACCATCACCCTGACCTTGGGCATGTACTGCCCCCTGCTCAGCCTCTTGCACTGGCCCTGGCCTTTCTACTCCTCCAGTGGAGTTGCTTTCCTCTCCTAGGCCCCAAGTCTCCCATGGTAACCTTGAGGACTGGGCAGAGTCCATGGCTGTTGCTGACTTCTCAGGGGTGGAATTTCTTTCCCCACTTCCACCTGACTTTTTTCGGGGGCGCCCCCGTTTTCTTTTGGCATCACTTGCTGGATCCTCTGTATCCTGCTTTGCTGCTTTAGCTGGCAGATCCTGGCCACTGGCCTCACTGACAGGTACTTCTGCTGTCCTCTTGACACCCTTTTCGTGGGGTCCTGGGTCAGCACCTATGCCTACCTCCCTGTTCTCCGTGGCCTGGGGATGAGTTAGTCTTCCAGGTGGAGCTCGCCCTGGTCTTGGTCCTGGTCCTGGCCCTGGTCCTGGCCCTGGTCCTGGCCCTGGTCCGGGCCCGGGCCCAGGCAAAGCAGGAACAGTTGGTAAGATCATGTTAATGATGGGCATAGCCGCCTGGGGTCCCCCAGCCCTATTGGGCAGAGGCAGTGTAGCTACTTTCAGGGTGCCTGAAGAAAGCTTCGGGGCCAGGATAGGTGAAGTGACTTGGATTGGCGGAATAAGTAAGCGAGGGGCTCGGGGGAGGAGCAGAGGCAGCCGGGCCACTAGGACATTAACCTGTGGGTTACTGGCTGCTGGAGGCAAGCTTTCGATTACACTCTTCTTCCGCTCTCCACGCGCAGAAGGGCTAGTGCCAGCCCGGGCTTCTGGCTCCTTAGGAGGCTAAAAAAGAAAGATGATCACAGTAAGGTGAAGACTGTGTATCCAAGAAAACAGGCAAGGGAGGCACAAGGGATGAGAAAGCAGCGGACCCACCAACGGAAGGGTATACTAAGCCTGTGGCCAGGTGCAGTCAGATCAGGCTCCTTACCTGGGCTGGTCTCTCTGGTTTCTTGTGGGCTCCCCCCTCCACGTTCTCTACACCATTCTTGGACTTAGATGACCGTTCTCGAGGGGCATGTTCATCCTCTTCTGCAGAGGTGCCAGAAAAGGTAACAGACTAAGGGGGAGGGGAACTGAGGAATGGAGGAGTGAGGTAATTGTAACGGCCAGGCTGCTGGGACAGTCAGGGAAGGGTCTCCAGGAATAGAAGGTGATTCCAAGGTGAAAGCTGAAAGGGCCTGAGCATTTTTCAGACATAAGAGAGGATCCACCCACCAGCAAGCCCCATGGCCTTAAGCACATGGGCATGTGCAGATCGGGCAGAGATGAGATGCTGTTGCAGCAGGAAGCGGGCAACCTCAACAATGGAACTGAAGGACCGTTTCAGGATTCGCTCTGCCCAGTCACAGGTCAGAGCACAGGCTGCCTCTACCAGTTCATCCCGAGGTGCTGGGGTTACTTCTGGGCCCATTTCTGGCTGTGGTGGGGGAAGGACACGTCCAATCACACTCCAAACTAAAGACACCCCCCCAACTACTGCCATAGTGACCGAAGCAGAGACCAGGCTGGAGATGGGAACAGTCTCTAACCACCCCAACCCAGAAGCCCACGAACTCTCTTTCTCCTCTGCCTTGGCCACAGTATAGGCAGAAAAGCACACAAAATATAGAGAATGACCTAAACTGTGTCAGCCCTCAAAACATGTCCCACAGACCTCTGACTTTTATCTGAGAGCAAAGAGTGGAGTTGGAGGGTTGCTACTTACACTCTCAGAACTCTTTAAGTCAAGTCCAGGTAGGGGTGGCATAGACACCAACGTCTTCCTCCGTATACCACTGTAGCAGTATCTGACACATGTTAAGGAGCAGCCAACACTCGGGCTTTCCAAACCCCTGAGCCAGGTTAGGCTATCTCTGCTCCTGGCCCTGTGCATCCTATGCTTTCTTACCCAGGTTCTCCAGCCCCAACCTCTCCAGTCAAGGATACTTGGACTGGCCGCGGCCACCAAGCCTTCGGGCCTTGATATCAGGGAAGATCTCTCTGATGATTTTGCCAAAGTTGGCTGTACTGAGTGGGCGGCAACAGGCAAGACTCTCGCAGTACTTACTGAATGAGTGAGGGGCAGAGAGAAAGATAGAGGAAAGGCTTTGAGTGGGTTCAGAGGGTTCCTAGGAATCAAGTGTGGGGAACTCTTTAAAAAGATAGGCTCTAAGATGGGCATGGTGGTGCACGCCTATAATCCTAGCACTCCGGGAGGCTGAGGCAGAAGGATCACAAGTTATTTAAGCCCAGCCTAGGCAATTTAGTGACCTTGTTTCAATATTAAAAATAAGAAAGCGCTGGGGGAGTAGCTCAGTACAGAGGCCCTGGATTCAGTTCAAAGTATCAAAAAACAAAACAAAACAAAGCCTCTATCAAGGCAGAATTCTGCAGGGGTAAGGGGCTAGGCCCACCAACTCAGGCACCCACCCTTCACCCACCGATAAGCATCATAAACACTCTGCTTTGGTAAACAGGTGTCCGTGTGCTCTTCCAGGTGGTTGCGGATCCACCTGTAGGCATACATGTACTCCTCACTGCTGAGTGTGCTTGGCTCTGAGCTGAAAGAGAAGTAAAAGAGACAAGCATTACTGAGGCCCAACAGCTGTCCTTGTTCTTCAGACTACCACTTCAATAGCGCTGGGCCAAATTAGTTCACCCAGAATCTACCTTTCCTTGCTAAACTAAGCCAGGGCACAGCCTTTCTTCTTGCCCCACGACAATAGCTACGAGTCTTGCTACTCACCTCGCCCTTTCCAGTGAGGTGATCTCTGAGACGCTGGACCTTTGATATTTAAAACACTGCCACCAAACCTACCTTTTGTCACCAGTGCTGGGTCCTGAGGGGAGCTGAAGGTAGAGATACAGCTTGTCGTTGTCTGAGAATTTCTGTACATCTTGCTGAGGTAAGAGAGAACAGAGGCAGGAGACATAATAAGGTCAAGAAGGACCTAATGTAGGGCCCTTTGATTTGCACCACAAAATCCAGCTGACCTTAGAGGTTCTCAGATTGAAAATGGACTTTAAAAATGATTTGAGGCTGGGCTTGGTGGTGCATGCCCGTAACCCCAGCACTTGAGAGGCTGTGGCAGGAGGATCACCACAGGTTCAAGGCCAGCCTGAGCTACATAGTGCGTTCAAGAACAGCCTGAACTACAAAGCAAGACCCTGTCTCAAAAAAAAAAAAAAAAAAAAAAAGAGGATGAAGCTGTAGCTCAGTAGCAGAGCACTTGCTTAGCATGCACTAGGCCCAGGGTTCCATCCCCATGGGATACCATGGAGGGAGGGGGAGCAGAAGGATCACCGTCTGCTGTACTGGGATGCTATACAGAGGCCTCAGAGAATAAAGTAAGAAGCTCACACTGGGAGCAAATTGCCAAGCTAATGATTTTTTTTTTCTACGTGGTACTGGGGACTGAATCCAGGGCCTTTGTACTGAGCTACCTCCTCAGCCCTATTGCGACACAGGATCTAAGTCGCCCAGGCTAGGCTTGAGCTCTTTTGCTCCTCCTGACACCCAGTCCAAAGCCAACTATCTTTTGATAACAGTGCCTCTCCCACATAAACCTTCATCTACCCACATCATCCGCACCGTCCCCACCCCCCTGACCAATGCCATCCTTCACTGCCCTCTTCCCGAAGTGCTTACCAGGATTCCTTCTACTTTGTTCTGCACGGCCTTGCTGTGGACAAGAGAAAGCTGGAGGTCACACACAAGGTTTTCCCATCCCTTTTTGGATTGTTGTGTGTTCGCGCGCTAAAATGCGTAGGAGGGCCTCAAGAATTGCTGTCAGGACCAGAAGTCTACCTCTCTCTAAGGCACCCGGCTGCGGAGAGGCAGCTCATCTCCAGAGGAAGTGAAGTGCTATTGGGATCTATCCAGAGGTCTCGAAGAGGATTTAGAGGGGTAACAGGTACTTACGAAATGGTACCTCGGAGCCTTTGAAGAAGGGTGGTGGGTTCCCCAGACTCAGTACCACTTTGGGACGCCCTTGCCCCAGTCTTGGGGCTTTTAGCATCAGGCTCATCTTCGGCCATTCCAGCATAAGGCTAGAGCTGAGAGGGGACAGAGCATGAAATGTAACTTACTATGGTCTTCTCCCAAGACCTCAGGGCAGTTCTCCTCTCTACCCACAAAGACGGAGAAGCAGACCCAAAGCCTCCAAATCTTCCCAGTGATCTTTTCTCACCACTTCTGCCTTTTTCGAAAATTAGAAATTATTCCATTATTTCACCAGGCCCATCTATACCCAAAGAGGTCTACCTGCCCCACCTTTCTGAAGTCTCCAAATGTAAAGGAAGAGAAGGGCGATTGGAAATCTACGGGAGAAAGATGGGTTCATTTCTCCTCTGACCCCCATGCTGCACCCCCAAACAGCAAACACAAAACAAAGTTCTCCACATCTCTCACATACTCTTCATCATGACTGCGCCTGACAGGTCAGGAAGGATACGAACAGATTCTGGCCTTCCACGCTTGGGGTGGGGACCAGGCCCAAGTTCTCAGGGCCTAATCTCGCCAGGCCTCTCCACGGCGCCGCCCCCTCCCCACGGCGCCGCCCCCTCCCCACGGCGCCGCCCCCTCCTCACGGCGCCGCCTACGTCATCGCCCACAGCAGCCCATCCCGGCGCGCGCCCACCCCTCCCAGCCCCCCGCCCTTCAATCCTTGGCTGCTGCCTGGGGGATTCGGGCAGCGGAACTACTGGGCTGGACGGAGGGAGCCCGGCAGGGAGAAAGAGGTCCTAGATTCGGGGCACGTGCACAAGGGTGAAGCGGCCGTTGAAAATACAGCCGGCATCTTTTTCTGATTGCTTCCCATCTCATATCGCCCCCTCCCTACCTCTGAGCAGTCGCCTTCCAACACAAGCACAAATAAAGGTAAGGGAGAAAGAGAAACTACCTCGTAGCCACCTTCACTCCAGCCCAGCCCCACGGCCCCGGCCCAGCGGGCTGCTGCGTTGCTTTATTTTCCTTTTTGTGAATGGCTGTGGTCGCCGCGATCTGCCTGGATACACGGACGACCTGCTTGGTGATTGGTTGTTGCTGCTACCCGGAGACCGAAGGCGCCGGCTAGCACAGGCGGCTGCTGAAGTCTGCCTGGTAACAGAATCTGATTGGTTAGCAGGGGAGGGAAAATCCAAAGTTGGTCTTATTTGAGTCAAGAGGGGGAAGTCCGGGTTAGGTTTCAGTTAAAACTAGGGTCGGTTGGGACTGCCGGTCCCAAGAGGTTCTTCTCTTAAAGGGACCGCAGGACGCAAACCCGTGCTTGGCCGCCGGTGGAGCTTTCTAGTCGTCTTGTGCCCTCTCCTCCGGTTTCAGATCGGCCTTCGCGCGACAACGCTGACGGAAGAAAAGAATTAGTGGATGATAGAATAACTAGAAAATTATGGGTGGTAGCGATGGAAATTCACTATAAACTCATACAACTCCCATTTGATGTAAAACAAGTTGAACCATCTCGCCCCTCCCAGCCAAACGTAGAAAACCCACGAACACAACCAACAGGCAAATAGGTTGCCCTTCCTTCTCGGTAGATCTCAGAACCTCAGCAGTTGCACCACATTAAGCCAAACGCCTTCCCCTTTTAGGGTTCCTCGGTTTTCCGTGTGTGCTTTATTTCCTCCCAAGGTGTTGCGGGTGCACCGCCCACCCCCATTTTGCACTTGGTGGACGCTGGAATTTTGACTCGTTCATTCCCGCAGGGGGAGCTGGACTAGCACTGGAAACTCTTAGAGAACTGCATAGGTCATGGGTTCTTACCTGTGTTACGACGTTTTAGGTTATGAATTAGATAAAAGCAGTGGGACCCTTTGCCGTGAAAAAGATGCACCTGCAGAAGAAGTTTTGCATCCGATTTCAAGAAGGACTTGGACTCCAGATTGACACTTCCCTTCTCCCCTGCAGTGCTGGGGACTGAATCCAGTACTTCGCACAGAGCTCTGTTCCCCAGCCATTTCTTTCCCTGCCTTAGCCTCCCAGAGTGCTAGCATTACAGGTGTGCACCACTGCACCCCAGCTGACACCCTCTTAAATGGATAGATTTATTTTGTTCTGAATAGCAAGATGTGGTACCCCAAATCATATTTGCAGTCTTGACTTCGCCAGGCTCTTTGTTAACAATGTGATGTTTGTAAACAAGGCAGACATGATGTCTGGTCTCATCACCACGGCCCTTTACATCCTCCGTGGGTAACCACCTGTGTGGGGCTTGGGGAAACCTAGGATATTGTCTGGGAGAACAAGGATAAGCTGGGAACAAGGTTTTCTAATAACAACTAAAATGTGTTTGGTCTTGATTGTATGTCAGACATCATACGAAACACTGGACACCTCAAGTAATGCTCACAGGCACTGTTACTCTGTCCATTTTACAGATGAGGATACTGAGATTTGGAGAGGTGAAGTGGCTCATCCAGTCACAGGTCCGGCCTCTGAGTCCAGAGGCCGGCAATTTCTTGCAGAGTCCATCTCCTGAACACTGCCCTAGACTCCGTGTACACCTTGGCAGTGCTCTTGTATGAATGGGTAGTGGCTGATGGACTGCCCCCCACCTGTGTGAAGCAGAATCCAGGATATAGAATTGGGGTAAATTTTGCTGCTTAAACATTTGCAAGGAACAGAGTATATTTGAAAGTTTAAGTAAGAGGTGAGAAAGTGTCATAGCTATGTAAAGATTATTTTGACAGCATTGTGGAAGGTGTTGAATGGGGGGAAAGACTAGAAATGGGAAAAACATAGCTCTTCATTCATGCCAGGTATTTTGCTAGGAGCTGTGGATACAAAGCTGACTAAGGCACTGTTCTTACCCTGAAAAGTAAAAATAAGTATTATCTGCACTTTGGGAGGCTGAGGCAAGAGGATTAGAAGTTTGAGTCTTGCTTGGACAACTTAGCCAGACCTTGCCTCAAAATAAAAAATAAAGAAGATTTGGAGATACAGTTCAGTGCAAAGGCCCTGGGTTCAATTCCTAGTACCACCAAAAAGTCTGATAACCATAACAACAAATATTTATTTAGACCTTAATATATACTAGGGACAGCACTAAGGGTTTCATATATGTTACCTACTTGTTTCATAGTGACACCAAAAAGGCGTTATGATTACCCCGTTTTACAGATGAGACTGGGGCATTAAGAGGTTAATAATTTGCCCAAGGTTATTGGGCAAGCTACTGTTGCACATTTGAGTTGTTTCCAGTTTTTGCCAGTGTGAGCACAAAGACTGTAAACTATATTACCTGTATCTTTAAGGCATATGCCCACAAGTAGGATTGCTGAGACAGCCAGAATTTGAATTTAGGCTGTCTAGATTCAGAGTTTTTATGTAGGCATTATTGTATAATAACTGCTAACAGGAGAAGTGAATTTATTGGGCTGGGGATTTAACTCAGCAGCACACCGCCTGCCTGGCAAGTGCAAGGTCATGAGTTTGATTCCCAGGACCGGGGGGAAAAAAAAAGAAGTGAATTTATTAAACAAAATATAACCATAAAAGTAAATGTTGATAAATTCAGAAACATTAATATAAAAATTTAATTTTATTTTAATAATCACTATAGTGCTGGTTATGGTGGCACACACCTGTAATCTCAGGACTCAGGAGGCTGAGGCAGGAGCATCTATGAGAATTTGAGAACAACCTGAGCTACATAGTGAATTCAAGGCCAGCCTGAGCTATGTAGCCAGACTCTGTTTCAAACCAAACCAAACCAAATCAAACCCAAAAATCACTATAAAAGGAATACAAGACAAAGTATAAATCTTTTTTTGGTACTGGCAGTCAAACTCAGGACCTCATGCTTGCCAGGAAAGTGCTGTGCCCCTGAGCTATACCTCCAGCTCTAAAGACTAAATAAGATATTTTTAAGGTATATAACTGACAAAGAATCGGGATCTGGAATTTATAAAGACTTCCTACAAATAAAAAAGTGAAAAGGTAACCAAATTTTAAAAATATGGCAGAAGAAATAAACAATAATTTCATAAAAGAAGCAGAAGTGGCCCATAAACATAGGAGAAGTCATTTACTACAATAACCAGGAAAATGGAAATTAAAACAATAAGATCATTTCACACCCAGTGAATTTGCAAAATTTTAAATTAGGCAACATTGAGAGTTGGCGTAGCTATGGACTGACAGGAGCTCCCATCTACTGCTATGGGAGTGGTATTTAAAAAAAAAAGATTCGATATTACTTGCAGAAGTTGAATATATCTCAGTATATATGAATGTCTCAGTAATCCTACTTGTAGGCATATGCCCTGAAGACACAGGCAGTAATGTTTATAGTCTCTATGCTTGTGTTAGCAAAAACTGGAAATGACTCAAATGTTCAACAGTAGCTTGATAAGTTGTGGTGTCTTCGTATGATAGGATGTCATAGAGCAGTGGAAAGGAAACAGGAAGAGCTCAGAAGAACACATACAGTATGCCAGGTGTGGTGGTGCATCTCCACACAAGAGGCTGAGGCAGGAGGATGAGGCCAGCCTGAGCAACTTAGTAAGACCCTGTCTCAAAATAAAAAATAAAAAAAGCTGGGACTATACCTCAATGGTAGAACAAGCCTGGATTTAATCCCCAGCACCCCTCCATGCCCGCAAAAAGCACATGGTATTTCTGGCACTGGGGATTGAATTTTAAAAACATGGGCAATACTAATACATCCCTGGCCCTTTTTTGAATTTTTAATTTTGAGACAGGGTCTCATTTACTTGCTAGCTGCCTAGGCTGGGCTTGAATTTGCAATCCTTCTGACTCAGCCTCTGAGTACTGGGATTACAAGCATGTGCCATCATGCCCAGTTTACAGTTTTATCTATATTTTTTCCATGTGCAGTGCTAGGAATTGAATGTGGAGCCTCATGTACACTAGATAAGGGCTATATCACTGAGGTATACTCCCACCCCATCATACATGTCATATACTTTTTTTATATACTAAGTTACCTTGTATAGTTGGACTTGTTTCTGAGCTTTATACTCCGTGTATATGTGTGTGTGTGTGTGTGTGTGTGTGTGTGTGTGTGTGTGTGTGTATTACTGGGGATTGAACCCAAGGGCACTCTACCACTTAGCTAAGCCTTTTAAAATTTAGACTTGAGACAAGGTCTTGCTAAATGACTGTGATGAGACTTCAAGTTTTGATTTTCCTGCCTCAGCCTCCCTCAGTGCTGGTACTGTAGGCCAGGCCTGTTGGACATTATACTCTTTAGTTAATTCTCATCCTCCACCTATAATACTATACACTGTTTCAAACAATGCAGTTATATAGTATATCTTTGTTTCTAGTGCCAGAAGCTTTCTGTTATTAGTTTTTTTAATTTAAAAGAAAAGCTATTCCTGGAGCTGGGGGTGTAGCCCGATGGTAGAGCATGTGCTTCACATGTGTATGGCTCTGTGTTCAACCCTAGCACTGCCCCCCCCCACCAATTCCTACATATGAGTTTGTATTTTTCAAATATGGCCACAAAACATTTCTGGTTCCACGTACTATTTCAGAATCTGTTACCTCACTGTTGAGAGGTAGGGCCCAGTTCCTGTCCTTTGCTGGGAAGGCCTCTGTGACTTTTCCTCAATGAATGGCTTGTGGTGGGAGTGATGTTTTATGGCTTCCAAGTCCAGATCAGAAGGGGTCACCTTTCCTTTTTGCTCTCTCCATGCACTTGCTGGAAGCCAGCCACTGTGTTGTAAGGGACCAGCCAACCACGGGAAAAGGTCACAGGTAAGTGTTCTGACTGGAACCCAGCTGAGTTTGCAAGTGACAGCCAGCAGGAATGGTCCTACATGTGAGTGAGTGAGTTGTGATTCTGCAGCCCCTGTCAGCACTGAGTGGAACGAAGGCTAGCTGGGCCCCCTGAGCCCTCTGCAATCTACAGCTCTGTGAGCAAACATAATGTCATTGTTTCAAGCTGCTAAATTTTGTGTTTGTTTTCTGTACTGAGGATTGAACCCTAGCTATATGCCCAGCCCTTTTTATCTTGAATCAGGGTCTCACTCAGTTGCTCAGGCTGGTCTTAAACTTGTGATCTTTCTGCCTTAGCCTCCTCAGTGGCTGGATTAGAGCCACTGCACCCAGCTAAGTCGAAAGTTTTGATATGGTTTGTTACATAGCACTAGATAACTGGAACACCAGGTTTTGTGTTTTTTTTTGTTTTTTTTTTTTGTCTTTTTGAGACAGGGTCTCACTATATAGTTCAGGCTGGCCATGAGCTCACTTTGTAGCCCAGGCTGGTCTTGAACTTGCAGCAATCCTCCTGCCTCAGACTCCCAAGTGCTGGGATTACAGGTGTGCGCCACCACACCCAGCTTCCAGCTTTTATTTATTATTTATTTTATTTTTATTTTACAAAAGAATCTTGGTGAGCTGATAAATTGCCCAAGTTGGGCTCAATTCTCCTGCCTCTGCTTCCCAGAGTGCTAGGATTACAGGTGTGCTACCAGGCTGGCTCCCTCCACCAGTTTTGTTTGACCTAGTTGAATTTCTGCTCTGCTTTAATCTTAATTATCTTTGATAATGACACACTCTCTAGTACCAGAACAGTTGGCAATTGTCATGACAAGAAAAAGACATGACTGCCCCTCTTTGCTGGTCTATCCCTCCTCTTCATTTCTTTTACCCTGTATCTTTAACTCATGGACCTCCAACAGGGTGAAAGTTGATTTGTGAATTTTATTTGCAACTTCTATTCTTGGCCAAGAATAAGAGTCTCCTTTGCTGCTCAACTGATGCTCTGTTATCGGTTCTACAAATTGGAGAGGTAAAAAGAACCCACTCTGGAGTCAGAAATTGGTAATAATACCACCAACTCACCCACTCTGAACTACTATGGTGTAGACATTCATTGTATCACTTTATCGATAAATATGTTGGTATTTATGGTAAATACTTCTGTGTAACTAAAACATAGGACTCTTTTAATGTGACCCTAATGCCATTATCACCTAAAATTTAAAAATAATCTTTTAATACTATCAAACATCTAGTCAGTGTTCAAAGCCCCCCACCCCTTTAAAATTTTTTTGGAGACAGGATCTCGCTATGTAGTCCAGGCTAGTCTTAAGCTCTCTATGTAGCCCAGGCTGGTTTCAAACTTGTAATCCTTCTTCAGCCTCCTATGTGCTAGGATTATAGGTATGTGCCACACTGTGGTAGGTTCCAAATAAATCAGGATCGACATAGGCCACATGCTGTATTATATTTGATTTTCATTAATGTGTTTTTAAATTTTCTTTAAGTAAACTTTTTTTTTTAATCTATAGTCTCCATCTCAATTTATTTGTTAAGGAACATGGTCATTTGCTCTATAGAATTTTCTTTATTTTTTCTTTTTATTATTGCATCTTTTTTTTTTTTTTTTTTCAATAGAGAGATTAAACCCAGGGCCTTTCCACTGAGCTACATCCCCATACCTTTTTTATTTTATTATATTTTATTTTATTTTTTTGAGACATAGTCTCGTTCTGCACTTCAGGTTGGTCTTGAACTCACTTTGTAGCCCAGGTTGGTCTCGAACTCGCAGTAGTCCTCCTGCCTCAGCCTCCCGCGTGCTGAGATTATAGGTGTGTGCCATCATGCCTGGCTCTTTGCTCTTTTTTAATTTTTTATTTTGAGACAGGGTTTCCCTAAGTTTCTCATTAAGCTGTGCAGGTTGGGCTTCTGCCTCAAGTCTCTCAAAATGCCGAGAATACAGGTATATACCACCATACCCAGATCATTTTGATTTTTCTGGGTAGAATACTTTCTGGGTATTGTATACTTTCTACTGCATTTCATTAGGAGGCACATAATATCAGATTGTCCCTCCTTTTATGATGTGAAGATCATCTGGTGGGATAAGGTTTATCAGTCTGGGGTCAGTCTGCTACAAGGTTCTATTCTAGTCTTCCATTCAGTGGTGTTGGTGTTAGTGTTAGTGATGAGCACGACTAGGATTCATTTGTCATTGTAGGCTACAAATTGGTGCTGTTCAAATTCCATCATTCACTTGAATTTACTAGCTGGAATTTTATAAAGAACTTTTTCTTATCACTTCATTATCCCAAGGCAAATTCCTAGGGGAAGGCAAGATAAACACTTTGATTTTTTCCCTTTATATTTTCAGTTTTCAGGATGATGAAATGGTATCCCAACATCTTCCAAAGATGAACATTTAGGGTTTTATGTGTATCACAAACTTGATTTTAGCATATTTAAGGCATTTCAATTCTCTTTGGTTATTATTCTTTTTGATACTCGGATTGCTCCACCTTTGACCAGTGGATCCTCCTTTGTCACCTGTGTTGCCTTTTCTTTTGAGATAATTTTAGATTCACATACAGTTGCAAGAAATAATAGAGAGAACTCATATACTCTTTGCCCTTTTCCCCCAGGGGTACACCTTGCATAATTGTAATGCAGTATAACAACCAGGATCACTGATGCAATCCATCAGACTAACTCAGATTTCACTAGTTTTACACACATTCATTTGTGTGTATTAAGGTCTATGTAATTTTATTACATTGTAAATTTGGGTAATCACTTCCGCAGTTAGGAAACAGAACCATTTCATCACCAAAAGGATGCCTCATGCCACCCTTTTATAGTACACCCCCCTCTATCCCCGCCCCCCTGGCAATTACTGACCTCTTGTCCAATTGTTTTCTTTTCAGGAGTGTTATGTAAATGGAATAATACTGAATATTAACTTATTGAGACTGTTTTTTCATTCAGTGAAATTCCCTTGAGATACGTCTAAGTTGTTTGTTTGTTTTTTTGTTTTTTCTTCTGGTACCAGGAATCGAACTTCATGACCTTGTGCTTGGCAGACAGGCGCTGTGCCACTGAGCTAAATCCCCAACCTCTAAGTTTTATATGTTGATAATTCATTCACTTTTTTTACTGAGTAGTATTCCATGGTGTGAACCTAATGCAATTTGTTTAACCATTAACCCACTTTTGGTGACTCTGGTGAAGGACATTTTGAGTTGTTTCCAGTTTTATTGACAGGGACACTGCTATAAACAGTTGTGCACAGGTTTTTATGTGAATATGTTTTTACAGTTCTCGAGGGCATGAACACAGGGCCCTGTGCACGCCAAGCATATCACTGCGCTATGCCGGCAGCCTCATTATTTTTATCTTTATTTTATCCTGATAGGTGTGTAGGGAAATCATATAGTGGTTTTAACTTACATTTCTGCCACACTGGCCAGGCTATCGCATCCTCCAGAAAGCCTTCTTCCCTGAACCTGCCACAGGACCTCTTCTTAATGCCCATAAAACTGCCTGCATTTCACCTTAAGAACATATGTCACTCTGTGTGTGTGCGTGTGTGTGTGTGTGTGTGTGTGTGTGTGTGTGTGTGTGTGTGTGTGATGCTGGGGACTGAACTGAGGCTGTGCTAGGCAAGTGTTCTACCACTGAGTTATACCCCAGGCAGCAGGTAAGATGGGGAAGGAATCAAAGCTCCAGTTGAGGTAGGTATTTCTAGAAATATGTTTAAAGTTCTTGAATAGAAAAGAAATGTGATGCATTTTTGGAGTGGCTGAGCCTTTCTGGGGTTCTTAGATTGTTCCAATGTTTTAAGAAAGGGTACTTTTTCAGAAGACTGAAAGAAAATGTGGCTTAGTACCTGCATGTTCCTTAATGCCGTCCAAGGTAGAGAATAAAAGGATCATAATACCATTTGGCTGCTGTGTTTTAGGGTTCTGGGACTTCCATTAGATTCCTTTTTATAAGGAATTAAAGACCTAGCACAAGAAAAGAATCATCTCTGAATCGGACAGGGTTCTAAACCACTGTCCAGGTGAGGATAAAAGAGTGCCATGACTGTGGCATTCGGTTGTGTCACCTTGGTGTTCCTAGCCCTCCTGCACAGCTGTGTTCTGTTTTTCAGGTAGGAGATGACACTCTCAGCAATAGCAAGTTCTCCCAGTAGTGTCCGCACAGTGGAAGTCAATCACACTGTCCACCTGAGGGGTCTTGGGGTCTCTTGTGTATGAAGGTGCACCTTGCAGTCTCTTAGGGCTGGTGAATGATGGTTTAGATTATTTAAAAGGAAATATACATTTTTTTTTTTTTAAGTATGGAAACACTACCCCCCCATCTCCTTGTGGCAGTCATTCTTAAAAGCTTTAGTTCTGTCTCACCATAAAACTGAAATTTTGGCTGGGTAAGCAGCACATGCTTATAATCCCAGCACTTGGTATAGCGGAATTGAAGTAGGATCATAAGTTCAAGTCTAGCCTGGGCAATTTAGCAATTAGTGAGTCCATGTCTCAAAATAAAAAAAGGACTTGGGATGTAGCTCAGTGCAAAGGCCCTGGGTTCAGTCCACATTATGAGAGGTTGGGAGGGGAGTGGAGGAGAGAGAAGGGAAAAGAAGGGAAGGGAAGAAAGGAAGAAAGGAAATGAGATTCTGGCATCACACTGGAGTTATTGCCTAGTTATTACTAGCCATGGTAACACTCTGTAGTCCTCAGTTCTTCTCCAGTCAGTAGAAGGGGGGTCACATACCCACTCCCCAAAAAACAAGTGATCTGAGAATAATTCACTAGTTTATTTCTTGCTACTTTCAGAACTTATATAAAAATCGGAACAGTGAGCTACAAGCATTAGTGGTCAAGAAAAGGAAATGCCACTAGTTTGTTTCAGTGGTCTCAGTTGGCTTTAGCGGGACAAACTTCCGTGGGTCAGGGACAGGAGAAAGCAGAGTGAAGCCAGGCCCCTGGAAAGTAAGGGCTCAGAGCGTGGAGGCCGGTTCTGAGGGGTGGACTTCAGGTCCAGATGTCAGAGGTGCAGTCACCCCCTGGGTAGCGCATCTCATGGGCCAGGGCTGGGCCGAGAGGCTCCTTCCCAAAGTCCACCAGGAAGTCAGGGTTCAGCTTCAGCCCTCCCTTCTCTGTGTCTACATCGACCTGCAGTATCACTGAGCCTTCTCTGGTAGAAAAGGGGGCGGGGGGGGGGGGAGGGAAAGGTCAGAAGCAGCCACCCCTCTTCTAAGATTTTGTGTATGTGGGGGTGGGTTCCTGAGGAAGGAGCAGGGTCTGTGGGCCATCTACAGGGTTGGGTGCGGCGGGGTGGTATCTCCCAGCAGTCTTTAGATGGCCACATAACCCCGAAGGGAGAAGGAGGTGGGAGAGGTGAGCCCAGGGGGTCTGCTTCTTACCTGATGAGATCAGGGTAAAACTGCTTGTCCCAGCCACTGTACAGTGATGTGGTGACATAGAGACGCTTCCCATCAAGGCTAAGCTGGATCATCTGAGGGCCTCCAGCGACCCGTTTTCCCTTGGAGAAAGTGGGTATTAGACCCCAAGGTAATACACAGATCTGAGGGGGGGATTGTAGGCACTGCCTAGATAGCAAAAGCATGTTCCTGTACTGTGCCCCCTTATCCTTTGAGCCTGCATTTGAGGGGGACGGGGAGGACCGGAAGGGGGCCTCACCTTGACTACCAGGGGCTCTGGCTGACAGTTTAGCTCCTGGTCCTCCAGCACTTGCACGGGTCCTCCCTTAACAATGCTGCCTCCCAGGAAGATCTGGGTGGGGAGGTGAAAAGGACAGAAGACCATGGTGAGAGTTATGGATGTTGCAGGGGAGCAGCTTGCCTTCTCGGGGTCTCACACTCCTGGACACATTCTGATGTCCAGCCACGGCTCCCCCAGGCCCAAGCCTGCGCCATCCTGCAGGCCATGTTTTTGCTTTTCCTGCTGCTCGTAGCTGCTTCACACCCTACACTCATCCCCTCAACTCTCCTTCTTCCCTTTCTCCTCATTTTGCTAGGACACCCACCTGTCCAGTGAGGCGGGGCCTCCGTGGGTCAGAGATGTCATACTGTCGCACGTCCCCATGCACCCAGTTGCTGAAGTAGAGGAAGCGGTCGTCCAGGGACAGCAGGATGTCAGTGATCAAGCCTAGTGGGTGTAGGTTCAGAGGCTTTAAGGACTCTTGGTTCCTAGGCCAGAAATCAACCTCCTAATTTGCATCTTTCTCTCGGTACTCACCTGGCATTTCGGGCAGCATCCAGCCCTTCACTTTCTTGGGAGGCACCTGGATCACTTTTTCCACTGACCAGGTAGCTTTCTACACCGGGGAGTAGAGGGTGAGGTTAGGAGGCTGAGACGTGAGCCTATCAGGTTGGGGGCTGAGAGGGACAGGGTAGATGTACCCCTCTTTTGGTACTGGGGATTGAACTCAGGGCATTCACACTGAGCTGCATCCCCAGTCCTTTATTTTTTAATTTTGAGACAGGCACTTGTTAAGTTGCTAAGTTGCCCAGGTTGGTTCAGATTTGGGGTCCTCTTCCCTCTGCCTCCCAGAGTGCTGGGTTTGGAGTGTGTGCCACCATGCTACTTCTTGCCACTAGGCTCTATCTCCCTGCATGCCCCTTTAGACAGTGCTTGTGTTGGCTCCACTACTGCTTTTCTTTTTTTTTTTTCCTGGTACTGGGAATCGAATTCATGACCTTGCGCTTGCCAGACAGGCGCTGTGCCGCTGAGCTAAATCCCCAGCCCTACTACTGCTTTTCTAGCACCTAGCACAGTGCCAACATAGAAGTTCACTACTTAGTTTTTGTTTTCTTTTGTTTTTATAATAAGGATCAAACTCAGGGGTGCTCTACTACCCCTGATCTACATCTCCAGCCTCATTCATCCATCCATCCATCCATCCATTCATTCATTCATTGACAAGGTCTTACTAAATTGCCCAGGCAGGACTTGAACTTGTGATCTTCTTGCCTCAGCCACTCTTAAGTGCTGGTATAACATGTGCGTGCCACTGCACCCAACTCTAAATAATTTTTGAATGTAAGAATAAATATGGCCAAATACTTAAAAAATGCTATGGTTTGAATGTCCCCACGAAAACTATGCTGAAATTTGATCCTCAGTTCGAGGTATTAAGAGGTGGGACCTCATGAGTGGATTAACCCATGAGTGGGTTAATGGGATATCTGGAGAGTCAGTCTGTTATAAAAGCCAGTTTGGCTCTGTCTGTTGTACATGTCCCTTCATTGCCTTGGGACTCTGCAGAGTCCTCACCAGCAAGAAAGCTCTCACCAGATGCCACTTGCCTGTGGACCTTTTGCCCTCCGGATCCATGAGCTAAATCACCCTGTCTGTTTGAGGCAGTTTTAACAAAAGAAAATAGTGGAGGGTGAGGTTAGGGAGGCTGAGAGGTGAGGTTGGGGGCTGAGACGGACAGCGGCCCCCCCCCCCCCCCGGTACTGGAGCTCGTACTTAGGGTGTTCACAAGGTGACAAGGTGGAAATTAGCAGAACATCCAGGGAAGAAAGGCAGGGCATGTGAGCTTGTTTCGTTCCCAGAAACCAGGGAGCATCATCCTGGAAATGGGGACAGAAGTGTGGACAAGACAGCTGGGGTGGGGGTGAGGCTGGAGGGTGCAGGTTACCTCGTTCTGGTAGAAACGCTGGATGTTGGAGCTGAGAGCACAGCCCACAAAGCCCTCAATGGCATCGGGGTCATGCAGGAAGCGGATCTCCAGGGGAATGAGCCCGTCCTCTATGGTCAGGGTCTGTTTGAGCTCATGGCGCTGCCAGTCCCATATGTGTATGTTTTTCCCATACAGCCCTGAGTGGGGTGGGTGGAGGATGGCTCAGATTGGGGTGGGGCCTGGGAGTACTGGGTGCAGGCTGGGGCTGGGACTGGGTGGAAGGGGTGCTTGTGCAAGATTGAGGACCCAGCAAGTCCTATACCATAACCCAGGGAATCTAGGGACCAGTGGAAGGAAGAAGGTTTGGAGCAGAAAGCACACATGGGGGGGCTCTCACCTTCCTTCACATGAGCAGGGTTGAAACCATCTTTGAAGACATTGGGAGCTGCCCATTCTGTGCTGACCATGACATTGTGTCGAGGCTGGTACCAGAAGTCATAGCCCATGGGTGCAGCACCCCCAGGCTGCTCCCATGTCCCCTTCACCTGAAAGGTCTCCCCATCCAGCAGCACAAAACCGCCTGAGTAGGAAAGGAAGGAGGTGTCAGACAGAGATACTACTGCACCCAGCATTCACCTCAGGCAGGACCCAAGGGCTCTAAATCCGTTGCCTGTCCCCCCTGGGCTGCCAGCTCCTTAAATTTAAGGGTTCAAAAGGTCCTTCCTGGGAATGGCCAAGCGGAAGGTAAGCCTCCTACTCATCTTTCTCCCAAACTCAGGGGAAATTTTCTCTTTGCATTAAGAGATCTTTGGGGACTTAGTAACCTCTGCTTCTCTTGCCCAGTTCCCACACTCAGAGTGGGGTTCCTTCTAAAGTCTGAGCTCCATTCTCCTCATCACATTTTTTTTTCCATTTGTTTTTTTGAGACAGGGTCTCACGTTGTAGTGCAGGCTGGCCTTGAACTCACTATGTAGCCTACGCTGGCCTCAAACTCATGGCGATGCTTCTGCCTCAGCCTCCTGAGTGCTGGGTTACAGGCGTGTGCCACCATGCCCAGCTCACCACAATTTTTTAAACAGAGCAGACAAGTTATATTTAAGTGTCCTTCAACCTGAATGCTGTTATGGTTCAGGCCTAGGATGCCCCCCAGTACTCTCATGTTCTCAGAGGCGAGGGTTCTGGGAGGTGATTGAATCATGGGGGTGCTATATTGATGAGTTCAGCAGCTGAATGTGCTCTTAGGAACTAGGGCCTGGTTCATGGCTGTTGCTGGGGACCTGGTGTGCCGAGAATCTCCCTCCTGAGCTGCTTCCCTTGCTCTCTGCTTCTTGGCCATCGTGATGTGAGCGTGAGCAGCTTCCCTTGGCCAGGCCCTTCCACTGTGTTCTTCTTGCCTTGGGGCGGAGTGAGCATGGATTGGATCCTCATGAACCAAAATAAACCTGTTCTCCTTTAAATTGCAGGTGTTGAGTATTTTGTCCTGGTGATGAGAAAGTGACTAAGAAAAATGTTCCTTTGCTGAGTATGACACCTTGATACAGTTTTGCAAACATGATCAGATAGCTACTAAGTGTTCCTAATCCAAGAAAATCACATTCCTCCCATCGCCAGGGCAGTGCACTCAGGTGGCCCTAGTTAGCTGGATAAACTCAATTGAGCAACCCCCCCCACGTCCTGTGATGAAAGATTCTGATACAATGTGTGAGGCTCTGAGAGGCAGCATAGAATGGCGATTAGGGCATAGACTCTGGAGCCAGAGGGCTGGACTCCGTGACTTATTGGCTGTGTGACCTTGGGTAAGTTACTTAACCATTCTGTGCCCCAGCTTTCTCATCTACAAGCAAGGATCATAGGAATACCAACCTCACAGGTTCTGTCAGGCTCACGTAGACATTTTATAAGTGTTACCTTTGATTACTATAAATGAGATGGCAAATACGAAGATTAAGAATCCCAGGGAGTGTGAGATTTGGTTACTCACTCACAATGGCTGATAGTAAATGTACATATCTCCTGAGGCCATGTCTGTGCTCACATTCCTCATGGCAGGCAGACTGTTTTGACTATACCTTTTTTTTTGGTGGTGGTGGTGGTGGCAGTAATGGGTATTGAACCCAAGTCTTCTACACTGAACTGTATCCCCAAACTTTTTATTTTTAATCTTGAGACAGGACTTTTCTTTAAATTGTCCAGGCTGGGCTTGAACTTGGGATCCTCCTGCCCTAGCCTCCTGGAGTGCTGGGATTACAGGCATGAGGCATCATAGCCAGCTCTGGCTGTACCTTTATGTTTTGTTTTGTTTTTGAGACAGGGCCTTGCTATGTAGTTCAGGCTGACCTTGAACTCACTTCGTAGCCCAAGTTGGCCTCAAACTCGCTGTGATCCTTCTGCTTTAGCTCCTAAGTGCTGGGATTACAGGCACGCGCCACCACGCCCGGCTGGCTGCACCTTTTAACTAAGCTCATCAGTTAAGGCTCATCTTCACAGGAATAACTGAAATAGCTGAAGTTACTGGCTAACACTTCAGACATTGGCTGCCTTCCACTGGCTCTGCATTCTGCTGCTTGCAGACTCGAACCTGCTCCCTGACAGACACATCTGTCCCATATTCCACAGTTGTGGTTTTGTGAGCATCCAGTGCCAGCATGTACCTTTGGCATTGCCGTTGGGGTCTCCCAGAGAGCTGATCATCACTTCCCCAGTGGCCAGGCAGTGGCTGGTGTGGAGATTGCCCAGGCTGCACTTGGCATAGACCTCCTGGGGCTCGATGACCTGGAGAGGGATGGGAAATAGGGTCAGAACTTTACAATGCTGGGGGTCTCCACTGTCTACCTCTGTACCTCCTACTATATATGCTGCCCTGTCCCCTTTGCCTTCCACACATGGTCACAACTCTCTCTGCAGGAATATGGCAAAGACTCAGTCTGGGAGCTTCTATAAGCAGCAAAAGGAAATGAAAGACACTGCCAACTGCCCCCTCCCCAGGCAGAAAGCACCCCCTCTGACATCCCACCACTCCATGCCAAAAGGACAAGGTCTTCCAGGGCTGGGCCTATGCCAGTGTCAGCTCCGTATCACCAGCAGGCAGCACCACAAGTTTCTGGCACCCAGAGGGTACAAATCCAAGTGCAGAGGGGAAAGATTGTAGGTTCCTGCCTAAAGGAAGCCCTGAGCATGTAGCTGGGTGGGGGGAAATTGGTTCCCTCACCCTTTCAGAGGAAAATAGCCTCTTCCCTTGTGTCCTGGGCCAAGGCACTGCATGGTGAAAGCTCAGCATGCCTGGAAACCTCCCTTTCTTTTTTTCAGCACTGAGGCTTGAACCCAGGGCCTTTGTATTACATTACCACAGTCCTTTTAAAAATTAGTATTATTTTTAAAATTTGGAGACAGAGTCTCACTAAGTCACCAAGTTCCCCAGCCTGGACTCAAACTTGTGATCCTCCTCCTTCAGCTTCCCAGAGTACTGGGACTAGAGGTGTGCACTGCCACACCTGGCTGGTAACCCCTTTTTAAAGTCTAACCTCCCTCCCTGCTGCTGAGTTGCATCCTGCACAGGTGGAGGCAGTAGTTTAGGGGCAGCTTCCCGCCTATAGGCTGTTGGGGTGCATTACAGCTCCCTGCTGGTGAGGCAGAGGACATGCCTTGTGCAGCTTTGGGGCACGGGGCTGAGTGCCCACATCTACCACGTAGATGCGAGAGGAGATGAGACAGGGCAGCATCAGCTTGGTGCGCGACTTGGTGCTGTCCCCAAAGCAGCTGCTGCAGGTGTTCCATCCTGAGTGATGTAGCTCGTCCTTCAGGTAGGGCATGGGCAGCCGGTGGATGACCTAGCATGAAAGGTAGAAGTGGTAGTGATTGCCCAGGCCATGCCTCTGTGCACCCCTGTGCATTCATTTTGGCTTGCTATCGAGGCACAGGCTGGATTTCAGCCCTTCTTTCATCCTGTAGGAAGGGGGGACCCTTGTTCAGTGAATCACTTGCACAGCCATATCCAGGGAAGACAAAAGAGGATGTCAGGGCCACCAGGAGTCTTGGGGTATGCCACTGCCCATGCCCTGCCTCACCTGGCAATACTGGGGAGACTTGGGGTCAACATCCACAGTGGCCAGATAATCTGGGGCCTCGATGCCTGTGTTTCGGTAAATGCAGGGCAGGTAGATAATCTGCTCCCGGGGTCCTGTTGTGTAGAAAGCAGGCAGTGTGGATGGCAGGGTGGGCAGGAATGGTGAAGACAGGCCTGGGTGTGTCTGAGTGCTGAGGTCCCCAACCCCACCAGTCATGGACTCTTCGAGGGGTACCAGTTCTCAGACACTGGGCGGTTACCTTTCATGGCCTCCAGAGGGCTAGGGTAGCCAGGGCCACACTTACACTTCGTAGCTGTGGAAATAAAGAGGGCACATTAGCTGTACCTCACTCTGGAAGGCAGAGGCCCCTCCTTCCAGCCTGTGACACACATCTGGCCAACACATGCCTGGCCAGCTTGGACTGTCCCAGGGCCCCACCGCTGGCCTATCCTCAGAGGTCCCTCAGAGCAAGAGCATAGGGGTGTGACAGGAAGACCTGAAGGGGAAAGATCCTCCAGCAGGGCCCAGAGCAGAGGGTTAGGCTGAGTGAAGCAGAGACTGCGTGTTGTAGTAGGTGTGACATGGATATAAGTCCCAGCCTCAGTCCCACAAACTGTAGGAACTCGGTCGATTGTGTAACCTCCAGGCTTCCATTTCCATTTGTCTGTGAAAGGGGGATAATAGGAACACCACTAGGGCTTTTATGAGACATAAACAAAGCCGGGTGGGAGCCCAGGAACCCTGGCTGTTCCGGAGGAGCAGCAGTCAGGGAGTGGGGATGTTTGTGCATCCCTTTGTGCAGGGCCTAGGATACTTCCTCCTTTCCTCTCCTGGCCCCTCCTCCAGGGTGCTGACCACAGCCTGGATTATATAACCAGCTCAGAGTAGGGAGAGGAGGTAGGAGCCAGCTGGAGGTCCTTAGGCCAGTTTTGCGCCACCTCCCTGTTGTAGGAAGTGGCCCTCCCTGACCCTGAAGTCTTGCAAGAGAGGACCATGGTCAGCCACTGCAAAGGGCAGTGCAGGACGCCAAAAGAAGTTTGGAGCTGGCCTGGAGGAGGAGTTGCAGAACAGCCCAGAGGAGGCTGCAGGCTGGAAGAAATCCTGGAGTGGAATTCCCAAGATGGGGCACTACTTCCCTCCCTGTGTGTGTATGTGTGTGCGTGTGGGGGGCTGCAAATGAGAAGCAGGAGTACCCAGAGTCCAGCTTCTATGGGTCCCTGGGACCCCGACATGTAGGAGCCAAGTGATTTAGGAAACAGATAGGCAGCAACAGTCTTTCAGAGTCCAAAAACCAGCCAGGTTTCGGGGCACAAGCTTATAGTCCCAGCACTCTGGGAGGGTGGGACAGGATTGCAAGTTTGAGCATAGCCTGGGCAACTTAGCAAGACCTTGTCTCAGAATTAAAATAAAAAGGCCCTGGGGATGTGGCTCATCCTGGGTTCAAGCTGCAGTACCTTAAAAAATATTCTAAAATTCTAAACCTAGCTTCACTTTCCAGATTTTACATCTGCTATCTCCACTTTCTCCCCTCATTTGCCAAAGGAGGAAATAATAACAATACCCTGCCCACCTCTTAAGGTGGATTTAAAGGTCAAATAACAAACTCATAATTACTTCCAAGTGAAGAAACACAAAAAAATATGGGTAAATAAGACAACAGATGCAAAAGATCTTCATACGGCTGAAACAAAGGTATAAATATGAGAAGGGTTGTCAGAGGCAGAGAGTACTGGGCTGTGCTTCACACCCTGAGAGAGGGCTGCGGTCAGTGGGGAAGGGTGTGGGGTCTGGCAGTTAGGGAGACTTGTTTTGCTATATCCAGGGCTTGGCACAGGATACCAGGGGGCGGGGAAGGAGGTTGCTGGACACAGAGAGGAAGGAGAGTCACAAAATCTGAGACATCAAGATAGCTGTGAAGCCAGGTATGGTAGTACATGCCTATAATCCAGCACTCTGGGAGGCTGAGGTAGGAGAATCAAGAGTTTGAGCTCAGCTTTGGCAACTTAGTGACTTAGCAAGACCCCATCTCAAAATTTAAAAATAAAAATGGGTTGGGGATGCAGCTCAGTGTGGAGGCCCTGAGGTTCTTCCTAGCACAACTAAAACAAAAAACAAAACAAAACAAAACAAAACAAAACACAGGAACTACAAAGCCAAAGAGGCTGAGAGGAAAGTGCAAGTCCCATAAAGATGTGGCTGGTTCCAGAGCATCAGCTCAGCCCTGCTCTGTCTACACATTTCCTGGGGACCTCAGGCTATGGGAAGTGTCACTCTTTCTGGGGTGCCCTCCTGGCTTAAGCATCTCAAGCAAAGACCTCTGAGCATCTTCTGTTTGAGATGAACCTGGGGGAGCTCAAATGGCTCTTCTATGCCAGGGTGGTGACTGGGCATCGTGCCAGCCCAAGGAAGGCCAGCTCCAAGAGGCAAGTTCAGACCTCCAGACTCTTCAGCTGACACCCAGGAGCCCACAGACAGAGGAGCAGGAGGGCTAGGGGACCGAAGGGGGCACTGAAACAGGTCCCCAGTGAGAGTGTGGGGTCCCCAACTTCCCTCCCAAAGTGACTGTGTGGGAGCTAGAGAGAGCCCTGGAGGGCTTGGGTTCCCTCTCGCCTGGAGGAAGAAGTTGGCCCAGTGCTGAGAACAGAATTGTCTGTCTCAGTGGTGACAGGCAGGGACATGGAGGCTCCCCTAGGAGTCCTGCCTTATCTAATTGCCTCGGCTGCAGAAAGACACCCTGCCCTGGCCCTTGCTGAGCAGAGCTAGATGAGAACTCTGGGTCACTCTTCCCAGCAGTCTCTCTGCCCTTTCCTCCTTTTCCTCAGAGCTCAGAAATGCTAGGTGTGCGTGTGATGCACGCAGGGAAGGGACCATGAAGAGACTAGTCCTCTCTCACCTAACTGCCGAACCCCCCAGTTTTAAGTCCCTCCCTGGAAAGGGGACCTTCTAAATGAGAGGAGTAGGAGGAGTGGGCTGTCCGAAGCCCCTATCCTTACCCATGCTGCTAGCAGCTACACTTTGGTCCTGATGAGGTGGCCAGGAATGGGCAGAGGCGAGGCAAGGCAAGAAGGGATCTGTACTGGCGTCAGGCAGACTGTGCGGGAAGGGGCAAAGGGAGGGAATTTATGCAGCCAACCAGAGCCGGGGTGGGGCGGGGCGGGGCGGGGGAGGGACCAGGCTGCTGGCCAAGACTCTCAAGTGGCCTGGTGGCTGGTGTTTGAATTGGAGGTGGGGGAGATGGGGGATTTCCTCTGTGTGTGTATGCAGACACCTGTGCTTTTAGTGCCTTTAGTAGGTGCCTTGTATGTGGTGAGTTGTGTGTCAGTGTATGTGCATGCTCCTGTGTACTCATGTGTTGCCTGTACCTTTATGTATGTGGTTGCATGTGTGTGTATCTGTGCCTTTGTGTTTTTGCTTGTGTATGTGCTTGCACGTTAGTATTTGTGTTTGTATGTGTGTGCCTGTGTGTGCATGCATGTGTGGAGGGATGTGTTTGTGTGAGCATGTGCAACACATGTTTCTGTACCTACAAAGGCTCATCTATGCATTTGGACGTGTCTTGACATTTTGGGGTACCGGGGCTATGGGCCACAGCCAGATAGCTTCTCGATAAGACTGTCCTCTTATTCCTGACATCTGTGCTCCAGAAGCCTGGTCCTCTTGCTCGGGACTCCTCACCCATGCCTTCCTGCCACAGCTGTCCCATAGAGCAGGGTGGAGAGCTGGGTCCAGATTCTTCTTTTCCCAGAACAGTTGACCCCTTGAGCTTTGAAGTGGGAGAAAGTCAGCAGCCTGTTATTACCCTATATTACTCTCCTAAACCTCAGGAGGTGAAAGTGGAGCACCTCCCCCTCATCTCCCAGCCCGGCGCTCAACAGCTGCCTTTGTCTCTAACTGTTCTGCGGCGAGTCAGGAAACCCTCACTGTCTTTATCTGTCTTGGAGGGAGTCCTCTAGCTGTAAGTCAGTAACTGCCTTTGCTGCCGAGCCTGCTGATACAACATCCCCAGGACAGGCAGATGACAACTGCTTCCTGAAGAGCTTGAAGCAGGGTTACTCAAAGCAGGGCCGAGGCCTGATCCCATTAAGTTGGGGCTGCCCTCATCAATTCCACCAACTCACACTGACTGAGAAGCCAGTGTTTGCAGGATGGGACAAGGCACAGTTCAAGGAAACCCTCCCAACTGGTCTACCATAAGAGCCAGGGGCCTCCTCTTCCCTCAGACTTGGCTGCTTGCCCAGGGAAACCCCTTTGCTCACTCTTAGAGGAGCCTGCTGACTGCGGCTATGGGAACCACTTTCATCTCCATGGACAAAAGCTCTGGGGTGAGGTTTTTATTGGGTAAATAAAATGCCCAAGAAGGATAAAGGGAAGAGAAGGGAAAGTTTGGGCTTGATGTTGCCAGTGGCAATACTATAAGAATGGTTACAAAAATAAAGAGGCCTTCAGTGGGAGAACTGCGTCTCTCAAGCTGTGAGCCACTGACAGAAGCTATGGAGTTACTGACAGGGCCAGAGAGAAATATCTCTGCACTAAGTAACCATGTAAAGGTATCTAATATAAGTTGATTTTCAGAAAGCTGACAAGTGGGAGCATTGGGGGGATGGAGAGAGAAAGAGAGAGAGAGAGAGAGAGAGAGAGAGAGAGAGAGAGAGAGAGAGAGAGAGAGAGAAAGAAGAAGGTGCATGCGCTGGGGTTTCCAAACCAGTAGAGGAAAGGGTAGGAAACCTGGGCCTTGGTGCACTATGTATCCTCCTGGTTCTCACTGATGGGGGGCCATGTGCCTATCAAGGAAGGCCCAGGGTCATAGTCACCCCTTATGCCCAGGGTCACTCAATCCCTCTTGAGCTCTGTCCTTTATTACCCTCACGGTGCCATCATCAGCCAGGCATCAAAGCAGCCTTGAGTGTACAGTTGCCCCCCAGGGGTGCCCCCAAGGGCTGCTTCCTTGCTCCTACCTTTCCCTGGTTTCCTAGCTCCCTCCACTTGCCCTGCTTCGCACTGACCCTCTGCACCTTCCAGACCAGGTCTCCATCTACAACTTCTGCCTTGTACTGTCCTGCTTTTGGCCAAGGTGGCCCACATTCAAGATTTGTGAGACAGAAACCCCACTCCTGGCCTCCTACCAAAAGTTCTTAATATGTTAACTCCACAAAAGCTCCCAGAGAATTTGGTTTGTCCTTGAGTCTCTTGACTGCCAGTTCTTCATCGGCTGCACTGTGACCTGGCTGGTCTCCAGAGCACCCTTGACCTCTTCCTGTTGCTTTCTCATTGACATTTCATTCAAAGGCCAGCCAGCTGGCTGGGGAAAGTTGTCGAAATTCCAGTCCCAGTCTCAGGTGCAGGGAGGTGTCCAGGGAGAAGCACTCAGGGCCTCCTTCTGGCTTAGAGAGTACCTGGACTTCCAGGTAAGTATGGGCCCTCTCAGGCACAGAAGCACCTGCAAAATCCTGCTATTGTGCTTCTCAGGAGCTGCAGGGCTTCCTCCCCAATCTATTCTTCCCTTCCCTAGCCAGAAGCCAACCCCAGGTGGTAACTCCAAGATTCAAAGCAAGAGGTGGTGGGTGGGGAGAACCCTGAGCTGACCCTGGTGCCAAGGTCACCAGGCTGGCTCCCTTGCCCAAAGCAATGTGTGTGCATGTGTGAGTGTGTGCGTGTATCTGTGTGTAGAGAAGCAAGGATGGGCAGGGGGCCCATGTTTATTTTTGTTGTTTTCAGCTCCAGGAAAGCACAGCCTTGGAGGAGGAAGTTAGCTGCCTGACAGCTGGACCTGGGTGGTGGTTGTGTAACTGTTGTTCCTGAACTTTGGCCCTGGCCTCTGGGAACAGAAAGTGGATTCCTTGGGCCACATGGGAGCTGTGGGGTACAAGGAGGATCATCATGCGGGAGGGCATGCCATGGCTAGGTAGCCCGTTTCTCCCTCCCTCAGCCAGATTTCTTTGGGCCTCTATAACCAAACAGATCCCAACACCATTGATAGGCAGACGGGGAGTCAGTAAAACCCAGTGAAAGGAAAGGAGAAGATGATGAAATTAGTCTCTATGGATAATTTAATGTAAAATAAATTGTTGTTCATTATCTCTGGAAAAATCAAAATATAAGAGAAGCCACAAAAGTTCAGCATGAGGGAGAAAGGATAATTCAAAATGCACAGATCACCTAGGATACATCTTAACCCTGCCTGCATGTTCCCATTTCATTCTTGCTATGGTCTCTAGGTAATACCATCTCTGTTTTATGTGGGAAAAAACTGAGCAAGGCCCAGAAAGGGTGAACACCACTGAGAGATGGAAGAGCAGGATTCCCATGCTGACCCCCTGACTGTAGAACTCACAGCTTTTGTTGTAACTTTGTGCTGCTTTGTGTTTTTCATTTGGTTCAGTGGGAAAAGAAAGCAAGGAGGCAGAAAAACCAGAAAAAAATGCAGAAGGCTGCAGGATTTTGTATTTAGGAAGTCCCAGGACAGAGACACTCTTTTTCTGAGAGAAAGTGAAGAAGTAATTGCCTGCTGAACCCAGCAGTGAGATCTTGAGGTGGGGATGATGATGGTGGTGGAGTGGGGAGGCCCTTTTGCTGCAGAAAAGAGCCTGGAAGGCTCTCTGCCCAAAGGCCTTATGCATGCTAAGCAAGAGCTCTGTCCCTGAGGTACATTCTCAGCCCCCAACTTTTTATCCCCCAGTCCTTTAAAATTTTTATTTTATTCTATTTTGAGATAGGGTCTCATTACATTACCCAGGCTGGGCTTGAAGTTGTGATCTTTCTGCCTCAGCTTCCTGAATAGCTAGGATTATAGGTGCACACTACCACACTCAGCTACTTCGTTGTTGTCAGTTCTGTTTTTTCTTTTTTTCCTAGCTAATTGTATATTTTTAAAAATAATAAGCATATAGTACTTTTATAAATAAAAGCCCAAATAAAATTATTAAAGGAAAAAATATAAGGAGAAAGTGAGAAGATTAAATAGGATGTGGGTGAGGGCTGCAGTGGGAGCCCGCACTGGGGAGAAGGACTGCCCCTGACC